TTTGACCGTCAAAAAATCTTGTAATATATCAATTTCCTTGGTTCCACCAAAAGTCGCATCATTGGGAGAACTACAAGCAAAACTAGAAGAATGCGAAAGCGATGATAAGATTTCACAAACACCACAAGTTTCTTCTTCATCTTCGTCTTTAAAACGTGCAAAAAAAATTAATGATGATTGCTCAGTGCCTAAAAAGACGAAAAGATTGCAGCAACAAGCAGCAGTAAAAGCTCCAACTCGTGTAGCAACACCAGATACAGTCAAGAGTGTGCCAAGAAAAATGGGCCAACCTAAGATCTTGAATACAATTGCTTCTAATTCTGAAGACGAGTCATTGCATTCAACTCCTAATAAGAAGCAAAAACATTCAAATTCCAGCGATATGCAATCGTCTAAAGCACAGTCACAGGATAGTCATGAAGTTGAGGAAATCTCAACAGAAAATGAAAATCCTGAAGCTCAGGAACATTTGTCTGATAATTTTCTATCAATTCAACCTGATAATGAATCTCATCATAATCTTTCTGGTTCAAAGAAAGATGACATCGATGGGGAAAGCAGACAACTGGAATTGATTTCTGAGGAAACTGAATCGTTGTCTGAAGATGAAGTTGAAGCTAGTGAAACATTTGATCAAACCAATACCAAGAAATCTAATAATTTGCAAATATCTTCAAGTGAAGATGAAGAAGACGATCGCATTGAAATGGACTCTGGCATTACTGATGGCTTTTTATACGATCCCAATGAAACCGGCACTCATGGTTACAAATTGAGAGTTCGAAGACTCGCACGTGCCTGGTGGGACCACAGCACCGATCAACCACACTATTACAGATGCAAGATTCCGAAAGTCAAGCGATTGGAACGAGAACAAGAAGCAATGAAGAATTTAAAAAAAGCCCACATTTCTTCAACAGCTTTCAAGAAACTTAGAGGATACTCGCCACCACTGTTTGCCTCGAAGGTCGACATATGGAATGAAGTTAAAGACGTTAAGATAGAACGAAAGCCTTTACTTCATCATCAATTCTCAAAATTCATTAAACAAATTGCTGGACGAGAAGAAACGGAATATTTGGACGACTCACAAGTTTTGAATGGTAAGTTCGATGATTAAAATGAAATATTTAAAATTAATTTCTTTTTATTTTATATCAGGAAGTGATTCAATTGAAGATTTGACATTTAACTTCGTCGAAGATGGAGTTTCTCATGCCTGCATCAACGATACTAGTTACTATCTTAAAATACATGCGAACAAATATAAATCGGAGGCACAAATCAACGAAAATTGTTCAATGGTAAGCCAAATTTTCATTAATTTGTGCCTCTGATTTAAATTTGTTATAAAATTTCTTCTCATCTCAGAGCTTGTTCTTGTTGAAAAGCGAAGTCAATTTACATGTCAATGGTGAATTATTGAAACTGAAACCTTTCCAACATTTCTTCTTAAAATCTGGTGACACTTATGCAATTAATAACGTTTCCAATGAAACTGCAGTCATTCATGTGAGTGCCAGTGACGGATTATAATTGTACAATCTTTCCTTAAAATTATTTATCGAATTTATATCTTTTTCATTCAATTATCAAATAATTTGTAATTTCATATAAGAAATTCTCAATAAATTTCTCTTAAAACCAAAACTTCTTTTTTAAATTCTTCTTTCCAGGAACGAAAGAGGAAAAATTTATTTTATTGACACCAAGGGAAGGTTTAAGAGAATGAAAGAAAGTCGCAAAAACATTCTCAAAATTTTCTTATTTTTTAAAATAAACAAAAAATATTTGAGGGATCACAAACCTTTCCTCGATGTTCTTAAGGATTTTGTTTTCTTTTGTTTTTTGTTTCCTTGCTTCCGGCTTTTAGAGAACATCGTTTTGATAAAAGATTTTCCTATAAACAGCTGGCAGCCGTTGCGTGGGATCTTCAACATTGAAGCGCATGTAAGGTTGACCCATATCTGAATTCCAAGAAAGAATACCACGATGTGACTAATATTTTCAAGTCGTTAATTGTGGTACAGTTGATATCACCATGATGGCATTTTCACCAACAATTTTCAAAGGAATTTTTTTCTTTTATGCTTCTCAGTTCAATCAGTTTACTGATGTCTCTCAGACTCACAACAATATTTCTCTTCTTTAGCCAAAACACTGACAAACATCGAAGTAATTCACCTGATTTCATATTCAATAGTTTAAAGTCCCATCAATGCCCGCGGTTAAGAGAAAGAGTTGAATGGGATCAGAACAGCCAGCCATTATATCAACCAGTTGAACCTCGTTATGCTTCAATTGAGTATGCGCCCCAAGAATAAAGTTGACTTTACGTCCTCTCCAAACATCCCAAATGATTATGGTGCTCAACTTGCTGCAAGTCACGAGAAACCCAAAAAGTTTGTTAAACAAAATAAGCGGAATTTGAGACGTATCTGTGAAGCCGTCAGTCTTGTTCAAGTCAATCTTTGGCTGACATTTAAAGTATGCAATTCTTCTCGATGCGATGATGAATTCACGAAGATCTTCATCGTAAAATGCTGAGACAGAAAAAGTTTCTGTGAATGTTTTAGTCAGCTCTTGAAAAGTTTGTAACAAGCGAGCTTGTTTGACATCCCACACATTGACAATCTAAAGGAAATTCTTCGAATATTTTGATGAATTGAAAAATTTTATTAAACGAAAACTTATTTTTATCCAACAACAATCTCAAAGACGCCAGACAAAGTCAGGCACACCTGTTATAGAAATTATTTTGTAATGCAATTTAGGAAGACACACAACAAAAAAATTCCGTCATTAAAAAATATAAAAATGGTGCCGTGAGATTTCGGGAATTTTCTCATTTATTTCGGTGTTAATTAAAAATGAAGTAACGAACTTTGTGCATAATTTGAGATGTGAAAAAGGTCAAAGCAAAAAAAAATACACTAGGCAAAGGGAAGAAAAAAAAATTAATTAACAAGAAGATCCATCGAGGGATTGTTGATGGTCAAGTGAAAGAATCTTTTATTCAAAGCATTCTTCCGTTTCCGCACCTTTTTGAAAGAATCGTCAACAATTCAAAAAGAGAAGAAAAAACTTTCAGAAAGCTTTAAAGGAATTTTTCTCAGAGAAATGAGGGAATGAAGACAATAAAAGTGTTCACCTGTTGCCAACATTTTTGAAGGTTGGTGAAAAGCAAAGCAAAGTTGTCCCCTTTATAAAGTCATAAATATTTTCAAGCAAATGAATTTTGTAAATTCTTTTTTTATTCACCAAACAGTTTGAGGATTAAAATGAATGTCACCAAGAAATTGAATCACTTGATAAGATTTTCTGTGCTGATGATATGAAACTGTTGATTGAGTCAATGAATGATACTTGACTAACAACAACTGGATGGGTTCGTATAAATTCTCTGCACTTCATTCTTCCGTGCATGTAAAGATGCTTAATAAAGATAAATGAAGTTATAAAAGCATAGAAAATTAATGGAAACAAATTGTCAAAGCTTTGTATGGTTGGAAACTAATAATAAATATTGAAAAAAATTTAAAAATGTTTCAATCTCTGTTAATAAAGCATGGAATTTAATTTATCTTAATTAAATCACTTTGCGATATCTGACACAATATCGAACCAGAATGAAAATCTATTTTAGAATTCTTCATGAAATCAATAACACGAACAGTTCCATTGAAGTCCCCAATAATTAATTGTGCATTTCTCCTGTTGTCAAGTGGTTGATGGTAGTGAAGTGCACTGATAAGCGATGGAAAATTTCTGACATAAAGTCGTAAAATGCATTTATTCATCGTGGAGCAATCATAAAATCGTAAATCACAGCACACCGACGAGATGCAAATTATTTTCACATCTGTGAGTATGACAGCATCGAGAATCAACGTTTTCGAGGATTTTTTAATTTCTCGCTTGTCAGATGATTCGATTGTTGGCGATGCTGTTTCGGGAACTTCATCTAACGAGAAATAAATATTTACATACATGAAAGTTTAATAAAGCAGTTGATGAATGTCATTCTTACCAGCAAAAATATTTCTCTTCATTCTCCACTTCGATGACCAAAAGCACCCAATTGTTACTTAAATTTCATGTGGATCTGTTGAAGCAAAAATAAAATTGCTGTCCACAAAGTGAATTCGAAAAATGTCGCTTCGATTTTTACGATTGAAAAATATTTGCGGGTTGTGCAATTGGAAGCGTTGTTGACAGAGCATCCTGAGCATTATCATCAATTTGCAGCTCCAGCAAAAAATATGAAACGAACTCTTCCCAAGTGATGAAATTGTCGCGATTTCAATTCAGCTTCTGGCAAAGATTAAGGAAGTCGTCATCAGAGTAAATGACAGTAAAACGATTCAAGAAACTTCGAAAATCCATCCAACTCAATCTTGACGATTCCTGTAGCTTAAAATATGTTTCAACGTAGTCAATGTCGCGTTTCGTCAGGAAATCATAAAGCCTTGGAATCAACTTAAAACTCTTGTTTCACTTGATGACATTCAACGACAAATTTTTTATGACGCGACACGATAACATGCAGGGAAAATGAAAATGAAAATGAAAATTGACGTTTCTGTTGACAATGATTGCTTTATCAACTTTCGTCAAGTTCTTCCCTTTCACATTTCTTCATATTATCATCAACATTAGGTTTGGCGTCAATCAACAGATACTTTATACAAAATAAGTGGCTGCTATCAATTCCCATTCAAGACTTGTATTGCTACTTAAATACACATGGAATCTATCTCCAGAATGTTTAATGTGCTTTCTTCCCTTTTCTTAATTGGTGTAATGAAGTCACAAAGCAAATACTAACTTAAATGCCCGGCACTTTTGCTAATGGCTTCAAGCATAATAATGTAATGAAAGAGAATTTTGTAGACATGAGGGACTGTTCTGCTACCGCCACCTTGGAAGGCAAATAAATTTTCGGCAATTAGTTTTCTGCTCGTTATGTGTATGCTATAATTTTAACGCAAAAAAAAGAGAAAAAGGCAACCGAAGCCCCATGATCCGGAAGAAAAGCGTCGTTTGCGAGAGAAGGGCGGCTTTCTAAAATTCTTAGCAATCAGAGACACAGGCACAAAAACAGTTTTTAATGAATAGATTTATGGGAACGTTGGTAGAGATATGAGAAGAAATTATTTATTCATTTTGAGCCTCAAAAAATGATTTACGCAAGTTGCGTCAAATAGCTTTTAATATTTCATTTCTGTGCTTTGCCTTGAAAATTCTCAAATGTCAAATCTTTCTGATTCTCTGCCCAAATGACACGAAAATTTCTGCAAAAAAATATGAAGGAATAAGAAGAAAAAGATTCTTCCTTGAAGACATTTTGAGTTGAAATTTGACGTCGAATGTAGGCTACATTAACATTCCATCCGATCCTACGTTATTTCAATCAAACATGTCAAAAACAACTGCAAATGTTGAAAAGGCGAACATAAAAATATCATCAATGAAAGTATTTTGTCTGTGAGGGGAAATTTCAGAGATTGTGAGCAGAATCGCGCGAACCTAGATTTTCAAACGAGCATTTCGTCTTTTGAGAGAATTCTCAATTGTTGCAACATTCGGTTGTGCAACTCTCTTCCTTCTTTGAATATCTCAGACCAAGCTTCATTCGGGCGATTTCGATCATGTTCTAAAAATATTCTATTGAGTCAGCAATGTTTTTATTTTAAGCTTTCTTCCTCTCATCATAAATTTGATAAATTAGCGCTTGATTGAGTTAAGTTGGAAAATAAACTGAAAAACTTTTTAAGTAAGTAAAAGCTTTTAATTAAAGAAGAAAAGAAAAAAGAAAATTTTTCTGCTATTAAATTCTATAAAAATCTAAATATTTAACAATCTGAAAAGTTTTTCTGAAAATAAGAAATTATTTGAACATTTTTCCAACTTTATTGACTTCCCCCGCACTGTTTGATATTCAAAGTTATCGAACGTTTCACATCATAATTAGATTGAGATATAAAGATAAACTTGACTTCGTCTTTCTCTCGCATCTCTAAGGAAAAGGATGTAAATATTTGACAGTTTAAAATAGCAGAAAACTTTTTTCATTACGATATTTTGCATTTTCTCATCTCATCATTTCATCAGCTTGAGGCAGAAAAAAGGAAAGTTTCTGGAAATCATTTTGTTGCAAAGAATTTTCATTTTATTTTCTTCCTTTCACGAAATTTCCCATGTGAGTTGAAAAAAAAAGAAAGAATAATTTAAAATTAGAATAATATCTCGTTTACTTTCAATCGTGCTATGTTGCTGTTCATGTCACCTGTGAGAGTTTTTAATTTTTCGCTTCAATGTACGACAAGAAACGGAAATTGAGAATAATGAAACATAAAATCAATATGTCGGAAACGTTTAGTCAAAACATTCTATAAGTTGAATTATTTTAAAGCGCTGTAACAGCTTTAAGCAACATTGCCCATTGCTTTTAATTATTTTTTACATTTTAATCTCATCTCATCCAACGTCATTTGAAGCAAAAGTTTCAGTGATAAACATTGGATTTATGTCGACTACAAACCAATTAGGCTTAATTTGCTTTCTTTTTTCTTCTTTCTTGCTCTTACAATTTATTGTCTGTCAATCTTTAAGAGAATTTATTTTTGACATTCAATAGTACATGAAGCATAAAAGCTTTCAGTGATTACGAGAAGTGCCAGCGAAAAGCAATAAAACTCCTCGAATTAATATATTTTTATGATCCATCCAAGCATAAAAGTTTGCGATTGCACAAATTTTTGCTAAGAAAAAGGAAAAAAATAAAGCTTCATGAATATTACGACAGAGAAAAGTTTTTATTGGCAATAATTGAAACCAGAAATCCCTTCCAAAGGCATTATCGCTTTAGGGTGAGACGAGAAAAAAAGTATAAGAAACATTAGTTTACTTCTAAAGCTGTTTAGAAAATCTTTAATGCTTTCATTAAAATCATTAAGTATGTTAAGGATGTTTGAAAGTTTTTCCAACTTTTCCATCTTAAATTCTTTAAACTCGACCCGTTTAAAATCCATTCGTTTCTATTGTAAACTTCACCATTCTCTGACGTCAGTTAAATTAGTTGCTTTATTCATATTTTATTCACAATTTCATATTTTTTATTCGCTGCTTTATTTTTTATAAACAACACGATAACCACTAACACGCATGTTGTTGATTATTATTAAAATGCAACCTTATACGGATGTTCAACATGCAAGATTGTGTGAAAAAGTTTTGCAATTCTCAACTCATGGCTTCATTTACATCGTTCTACGCTAAGCTATCGTATTAAGTCATGTCGTTTATTTTCATAAATAAAATTTAATAACTTTGCTTTATTCCGCAATTATTATTTATAGTGTTGATTCATTTTACCGTCTCAACTCCAACTCCACCCACATGCATGGCTCGTGTCGTCTTACCGATGGAAAGCGCAACTTCATAGTGCAAATACACATGTTACGACAGAGAACGACGCTTGTAAATCATGTTTAATGATTATTTTGTGCACGTCTTATCGAGAGCTATAAATTACTTTGAATGCCCGTTTTGAAAACTTCAGTTCACATCAACATAATTTTCCTTTGCACTTTTTCGTCGAAATTTCTTTACATAGTTGGAACAACAAACTTTTCATTTTATAAAATGTTTTAAAAGTCTTTCAGTGCTTAATAAAGGTTATTTCATTCATTAATAAAACAAACTTCAAACTTTTTTTTCCTTTCATTTTTGACTCTTTTTTTTTGTTTAGATGCTCAAAGTTTGAACTTAATGAAAACTATTTTGAGAATCGAGTCAGTTCATTAAGAAATGTTGAGAATATCCTAAAGTTTCTTTGTCTCAAGGTGTTTATTTCACTCCATAACCATTGAGTTTTAAAGATAAAGTTTTCAAATCGCTTAAGGAATTGAAAAGAAAAATATTGCAAAATTGTTTTTGGATATTTTCTTTTAGGGATATCTGAAGGAGTTTTCAAATAGATATTCGATTAAGATATGAGTTGGAGATTATTGTGAAAGTTATATCTTAATAAGTATTAGAAGCTTCTTTGAAAAGTTACGAGAGTTCAAGGAATAAATTTGCATAATATTGCATTGATCTGAATGTTCTTGTTAGTTGGTGAGACACTTTTGATACCACCACGGCAACAACTAAACCCCCACAAGTGCAAAGCTCTGATTTCTTGTCAACACATTCCACCAGAAGCCCTTGATGTAAATACCAACTTGTCAACACCTTTTCCTACATTCACAATATTGAAAACAAGAAGAAAAATCGATAAAAATTTCCTTTATAATTCCTTTGACAATAAATATTTTCAAAAACGTCAACGACTTGCATAAGCTTAGGGAAGTCGGCATCATAAATTTATTTCTCCACAAAAACGAAACAAAAATGCCAAAAGTTGTAAATGTTTAAGCGAATTCCTTTTAAAAGGAAAAAGAAAGTGAAAGCAATTAGCTTGCAGAAAGTTACAAACGCGGTATTAATACGCATATAAATCATTAAGACATAAAAGCAACATAAGAAAAGTACACATTTTTCATAATTCTTACTTTCTCCTTGTATCGGAAGCCATCGAAAAGCGTTATTATTTCATCGTTGAAAGGAAAGTTTTCTACCTTCCCTCCGTCTTTCCACTGACTGCTATTTCAGAAGACTCGGTGTGTTAACGATTACCATAAATCATATCAGAAACTCAAACGAATAAATAAATCGCTCTTTGCGCTCGCAATGGTTTGGCTGGCACATGTTGTTATGTGTCAAAGTGGCGAGGCGACAAGAATAATCAGTAAGACTTAAAGGCAAAATGAATTTCCCTTCAAACTTTTCCAACGATATAAACTTTCACTTCGAATCCTTTCATCTGATCTTGTATTATATTTGGAAGTTGATATATTTATGGAATTTGATACGCTAATCGAGTCTCACATCGATTTTAAATTTTTTTTATGTTTGTTTAAAAATCTTTAAACATTTTCCCACCACACGAGAATTCAAAATCAATTTTCCTCTTATTAATATTAATTTCCTTCTCATAAGTGCGAAATGTTGAAGTGAAACAAACATCAACATTATTAAATAGCTAAATATTTGATTTTCAACGAAATATTGCGAGAATTTTATTGAACTTTATGAAACTGCTGAAAGTTTTCAACGAACTGAAACCATGAAATACTAAAATTGTTGTGAAATTATGCTGTCAAAAATATAAATCAATTTCATTAAAAGAGTGAAAATGCCTGAACAACACGAAACTTATTTTCATGATGCATTTCTCTGTAGTTCGTTATTTGTTGTTTGTTTGGAATTTTCATTAAATCGCTTTCATAAAATCATTTTGCTGTCCTTTTAAAATTATATTTCTGACATCAAAGTGTTCATTTTAAGTTTCTCTTCCACACATAAATTGAAAAATATTTGAAATTTGATTGTTCTTTACTAAAGAATTGTGCTGGCTTCAAATTGATTTCGTCTGTCTTAAAATTTGAGTTCAGTTAACAATTTTAAAATTTCTTCTACATTTCACAATAAATCCATTCAGAATTTATGACAGTGCTCAGCTGAAGACGTCACAAAAACATCAATGATAATCACTTAATTCAGTGCTCAGCTGTTGATACTTTCCCATGAGATATTCTAATTTGAGGGAATCCATTTCATCGTCTGATGCAATTTTTTCATTCATAATTGACTTCAGATGATCAACTTCTGAATTTATTGACTGAACAAAAGTAAATTGAATCAAAGAAAGTTTATCATCACATAAATCTCTATTTAAAGCTAGAAAGCTGTCACTCATCGATGCTTATGTCTTTATCATTGCAATCAATTGACTACAACAGTGGACTTATTTATTCATTCATTCCTCTCAATGAACAAGGTAAGTTTATCCTCTTGTGTGGTATGAATGTCATTACAAAGAGAAAGACAAACTCGGTGTCTGTGATAACAATCTGTAAATTTAACTACATAATACTCCTTTGTAGATATCCCAATTAAGACTGAACATGATATGTCATTTATTTCAAATAGCATTTCAAATGTGAGAAACAATTGCCACGTTCATCCTAATTTTAATTAGAGACAAAATATTTTCTTATCCAACATGGGATAATGAAATGAAAATAATTAAAACGAGATTTGCGAGGACATTGCGAATTTATTCTCGTGTGAAAGAGAAAATCTTATTTTTTTAACGAGACACAAGAGTTCGTTTTGTTTTTATTTAATCATTTCATTCTAAAATTCAATCTCCTTCCTTTCTTTTACGATAAAAATCTTTATTTTTCCATCTTTTAACTTAATCCTGTTACATTTCTAGCAAAAAAAAATAAAAATAAGGAAAGAAAAGGAAAATTTTCTCCCTCTTAACTTAAACTTTCATCTTAATGCTGCTATCATATTATGACCAAACATTCATTGCACATAAACCTATTTTTAATGTTTTATCTTTTACCTATTTTCGTTTTCTCAACCATTGAACATGACCCTCTAATTTGTAAAAAGGAATGCTTGAAGATGAGATGAAAATGGGATTTAAAAGAAATCATAATCATGATGTCGGTGTTCACAAAATTATATAAATCCCTAAGAGATCATAAAAAACTGAGCATTGTGGCGTGCGGACGATCTTTCTTATTACGAGGGAGCAATAATGCATTTCGCTATTAACAGATAATTTTTCTATGAGTGCGTGCGTATGAATCTTCTCTGCGCTTGGGGATGAATTTGTTTAAATTACTCGAGCACACGCACGACTTTACTTGTTGATTACAACAAAAGGAAATCAGCAAAAAAATAATAAATAAAAAATTCTGTGAACTCAGATGTTCATTCACTTTGTAAAAATTTGTTGTGAGTTTATGAGTGGATGTTGAACGCAGTTGAGTGAGTCAGTGAACAGGAAGAGTAGCAAATACTCACAATCGATATCAAGTTTATTGCAGTTTGCCAACAGAATTTTCTTTGCCAAGTTTTTGAATCTTCTTAAGAATTTGTTTTTATTGCATAAATTCACATCAGTTTATTTTCCTTCCTTCCAAGCAATTGACCACTTGCAAAACAACTCTTTGTAAGCATATGTTGAAGTCGCTTCAATTTTCTAAATCAATTTCCTTGGCAATAAATTTTCTTTAGACATTTGTTAACATTTTCTTTCCTGTTTGCCATATCCGTGACTTGTAAGTATATCGAGCGTTGTTATTTCTCTTTTTATCAATTAAACTACACTCGTTTAGAATTTTAATCCGAATTAAATAATTACGATATTTCATGTTGTTAACTTGCGATTATCACATCTACATTTGTATGATAGCAAAATTTAGAATTAAAATAATCAGAACGGCAAGAGAAATAAAGTTAATGAGTGATTTGCATGTTGAATTCATTTATATTATTGTAGGAAATTTTCATTCAGTGATTAAAGGTTTGCTACACGATGAAATAATTGAATAATAATTTCATTACAATTTCTGGGAAATGAGACTATGAAGCGAACATTATCGACGAGTATTAATTGCTTTTAAAACATGTTTCGTAGCTATGCTTGAAGTTCTTTTAATGTAGAATTTTTATTCTGGGAAAATTTGTAATTAAACTTTGCTTACGAAAATTTACATAGTTCATGGATAAAAATTCTCGTTTTAATTTAGGCGAGATGTGTATTAACCTGAGCTTTCATTTATTTTTACTGAAAGCTTCAATTATAATCAAATTTCAACATGTATTCAGATATTTGCTAAAAGAAAATAAAGCGAAATCAAATTTTAATAAATTTATCTCGAGAGAATTTAATGATGAGAAAATTGAATTTCTTTTCCTATTTAAAAAATTGTTTTTTAAGCAAAAATATTATTTTATTGTTTACTTTGCGGAAGCATTCATAATTAGATATTTATCACAAACAGAAAGCTGTTAATTGAAAGTCTTAAAAGAAAAGCTGCTTTGAAATTTTTCTTTTTTCTCGTCTTCATTGATGAATTTGAAATGGGAAGAATCCCACATGAAAATAATTTTAATTGAATTTAATTAAATGTTTTTTGTTTTGTACGTTTTGGAGTTCCATCAAATGTAACTGATATTAACATAGAAGCAAAGTTTGTAAATAATTAATTTAAAATCTCTCTTCAAAAACTGGAAATGTGAAAAAATATTAAAGATTGAACAACGAAAAATTCCATGAAAAGCGATGACGTGAAAACATCCTACGTTTGTGATCCCACACACAAAATCACTTTATTAAGCCACTTTAAACTCTGATGCTTCGCATTCTGAAATGTCATCACGGTTTTATGAACGACACTGAAAAAAAAGCAAAATCCCGAGTTAAACTTTGCAAGAAAAAAAAAGAATCATTCAGCTCGATAGATTTGTGATCCCTATTCTGATATGGCAAAATAAGGGCGTTGAAATATCGACATACACATAACGATGAACCTAAAATACAAGCCTGAGGTAGGGTGAGAATTTTTCATGATCATCCAAAAATTGCATGCGAGAAAAATTGAGAAGTGCACACAACGAAAGCGAGGGTTGACAATAACAAAGTAAAAAGAAGTTTTTTACATGAGTTTGAATCCCTCCCAGGACTACAGCAATCTCTTTTTTATTCAATAAATTTAATTTCATGACGATGTCGAAGGAACGAATTGAAATATCTCATCTTCATGTTATTGCGATCTCGAAGGTTTTTAATGGATTTAAATTTGTTTTAAGCCATTCACGATGACATTTATTATACGAACCATGCAATGTTCTGCCCTTTGTGCATTTTGGGAAAGGAAAAAAAATTCAAATTAGTTTTTTAGCTGTAATTACGAATGATTACGACAAGCACAAGCTGCTTGGGACAGTAATGAAATTTTTCTGCTTAGTGAGTCAAACTCATTTCTGTTTTAATTTTAATCACGTAAAATTTTCCAACTGAAATTCTCATTAACTGAAACAATTCGTGCATTTATAAAAAAATTTCAAATATTTTCATTTCTTTTCATCTAAATTTTCATTTCAATTTTCATCATCATATCGCTACATTTTGTGACATCGCAAGCAAATTAATATTAATCTTGTTTATCATAAAATGAAACAAAATTGCACTTTAAATGAAATTTCACATTTTACTCATGATTCATGCTGTGCGCTATCACATTATGATAGTTGTAATGGGGTGAATGTGAACAGACCAAAAGAAAGAAAGCAACAGACAGAGGGAGTCATCCATAAAGATTCATTTATTTGCTGAGGTTTTATTTACATTATTCGAATATCTACTCAAAATTAATTTATGTTAGATGTCACATTAAAAGAATTTATCTTTGGAACGATGTTATTTAAGTGAGGGATAAATAAAACATGATGACGATCCAGGAAAGAGCATGATGAATAAGATAAGATTTTAATGTATCACTACATGAAATGCATTAATGATAGACATTTGTGTCATTGTGATGCGGCAATATTCAAACTGGTTCCGCTTGGTTGGCGACTTTATGGGCATCTGTTAAAAAGGAATCTCGTCATGAAAGGAAACTTTCTTCTTACCCGGAAAAAAAAACTTTCGTTTGTCAACTCATAGATTTAAATGCGGTGTAATGGACAAATGCGAATGATTTTTCATTCCTTTCCGTCATTCAACAAATTCATTTAAGCGAAATATATTTCCAATCCATTTATCATCATCTGTCTACAGATATCAAAGAGCATTGAAACATTTTTAAAACGTTTGCCATTAATCTAGTGCAACATCATTTTTCATCCACGCGCTGTGCTTTTATTATGTTTTTTTATTTAATAATTTTAAATTGAGCATTCTTCGCATTTTCCTTAACGAAAATGAAAAGAAGGAAAGATCACTTCATTTATTACTTTACTTCAACGTTGATTATTTAAAGCGAAAGATTGTTTCAACTTGTTTTAAGAAGAATAAATTCAACAATGACAAGCATCTATGTTTAAATAAAGTTAATAACTTTGAAATCATATCAACAACCAGGAAATCATATTTTTGTCAACAATGCATGAAATCTTTTTGACATCATGATACGATGAAATGAAAATACAAAACAAAAGCGAGTGACAATTTGAATAATTTTTTTTCCAACTCCTCGATGTTGCAAGAATATTTCCGTCCTGGATTTAAGAAAAAGTCACGTAATTTTGTAATAAAAAGCTGATATGAAACCCGTTCCGCAATAAATTCAAATCTCGAGATGAAGGGCTGGAAGTTGAATATGATTTATTTGCATTTATTTTTGTTTTTCCCTTTCACGTTTAATCTTTGAAATGAAAAATCTCTAAACAAATATATTTGAAATACAAAAGGATTATAATTTCTTATCATACGCCACAGTCGTTTAATGAATAAAAATCGTTGAGCGTGTGCATGTTCGCACTCCGCTCCTACCCAGTAAAAGTTGATTAAAAATGAAAGGGTAACTAATCGTGACTTTGTAATTGGAGCGTAATGCAAAAAGTCACAAGCGTATCGGTTACAAAGTTTAATTCATTCAAAAGGCAAACGGAACTGCTGAATAAGTAGGACTGAAACAAGTTGAAACATTTGCATAAGAAAAGAATTTGACAGAAAGAAGCAAATTAAAATTTTAATGAACGAAAAATGAAAAAGTTCTCTCGTTTCTTTGTGGAATATCTAATAAAATGAATATTGTAATTACTGTTGAATTATTTATGATGTGAAGGATTGAGGAGAATTTTTGATACTAAAAATGAAATTTCTATGTTTATGTGCGACATAAATTTTTAAACTATTTTGGTGTGAAATTTTCAAAAGAGCTTTTAGAAACGTTTGAAGTGGATCAAGGTAACTCCATAGCTGTCAGTTATTATCCAATTTGCTTTCGAGAATGAAAAATGAAGGATAAGTGAGAATTACAAAACGTTAAATTTTCCATTTTTTAAAGCTTTTTAAAGTTCCACATTCTGATTCCTTTCGTTGAACTCCGTCACATGTTTATTCACACGTAGATGATGCAAAATGCATGATATAAATGAATTGATTGTAAGTAGCCTGGATATCTACAAACATCAAGAAACGAAAAGCATTCTCTTGCATTTCTCGACTTCTATTCAAAGCTGCAAAAATATTTTTCTGCATGCATAGCACATCAGCTATTTAAGCTTTTTCAACTTTCTGTGTTTCCCTAGCGTTGAAAATAATCTTTTTAAAAGAAAAATAACATCCATGTGCATAAACTTCTCAGTTCTTTGTTAAATACATATCCAAGTTAGTTCGAGATCACTTCTGAACAAATTTGACCTTCAAATGTTAAAGCGAGAATATTTATTTAAAAATATTTTCTCCTCTTCAATTACTTTTTGGAGATCTTCACGGGAAATTCTGCAGACATCTGAATAGTCTCTTAAACCGCTTCAATCCCATGAAATATAAAATCTCGTAGCAAGTCTAAATAATAACACAATTATTAGTCTGCAGCACATACAAACTAATGATAATCAACAATTCTTCTATGTAATCTCAACATCAGTTGCTGCTTTTTTTCATATTTTATCGCCCCCACAAGGAAAGAAATAAAATCTCGTGAAGCGAAGAAAAACTTTTATTTATGCTTCATGTCACTCGACATAAAATATTGTAGTGAAAAGACGGATTTACGGGAACTTAGTTTTCTCGGATCATAAGAGTTTTATAGATGAATTTAGCGTAGCAGATAAATGTAGATAAAGAGTATGAAGGGTGGTAGCATTGACACAATAGAATGAAGACGGAAATATGCACAAACTCATTCGTTTCAGACACATTTAACTGTTCACAGTCAACTTTATTAGCATAAAGTATTAATAAAAATATAAACAAGGAAAAACGAATTTCAACGGCAAACTTTGACAATAATTTTAAGAACCAGCTTGCGATATTCAATCCAATAAATTCTTTTGTAAACAATTTATCGAGTTAATAAAATTTCGATATCACGCATCGCATTCAAACGCATTTAGGAATTGAAATAAATTGCGGATTATAACTTGAAAATAAATTTTAAACAACTTGCACTTTTATTAGTTAAAAAAAGAGGTTGCGTAAGAAAAAAAGGGTAAGCGAAGCTCAAACTCACATAAAACTGTTGGCTGGCTGTGCTAAGTGTTGAGATCCGAAAGAGATAAATTTTTTATTGCCAAAACGAGGAAATGTGAAAATTAAGTTTTTTTTATTGTTGGATATGATGGCGAATGAATGGTTGAGGATGTGTAGTTGTGAAAAGATGAAAAATGATTATTGATGCTTGAAAAGTGGAAGTGGATAAACTATTTAGATGTTGGAGACTGAGTAAATTTTAATAATAAATGATGAGTTGAATTCTATCAATATAAAAATAAGAAAACATTATTTAACGATTGATGTTTGTCAATCCCTCTAGTCAAAAACTCTAAAATAATCTTATTACCTACTTAATTTTTTTTATATAAAATAAATAAAATTATTCATTGCTGTCATGTCTAAGGAAATGTTCTCTCAATAAGCAGTTTTAGTCCTATTTTAAGAAGATTACTCGATGAAATTTCACTTTCATTTCTGTTATGTCAAAACAAACATTTGAGAAAATCAATCGAATATAAATTTTGTTACTCGCTTAAAATATTTAACGAAAATATTTTTTCTCTCTCTCTCTTCCTTTCTTGATTTTAATTTAACATCAAGAAACATTTCCTCGCGAATATCAATATTGACTTTTTGAATCGGCTCGCGATTAAAGCTGATTACATCAAAGGAATTTAAACGAGACGTTGATGGAGGGGAACTAAAAATGAAGAAAATTGAAATCAAAAATTTCCAAAACGAGTTTGAGTGAAAGAGGAAAAAGTCAGTCAAATGATATTCAAATAAGATTAACAAACGAAAAAGTATAATTGAAATAATCTTTATCAAACTAATGAGATTTCATGAGTCAAGAAACAAAAAGTTCACCTTTTGATATGAAAGGTTCATTTCCTTTTGTGTTTCCTTGCCTTTCATATCTCTGAATATGCTTGGAAAAAATCTTTGTGATGTTTGCGAAAGCATTAAGACTCTGAAAATGTTGAAGCACTTTACTTCCTTTTTCCATGTAATCCGGTAAAGTAAGAAAATTTAGAATCGCTTATGAAATGCTTGAAATGTTCATGAGTTGACAATTTATGAATAACAGGCGAGAATCATTACGAGGCGCTTAACAACAACAGAGGGAGAATGCTTAACATTTACTGGCTGTGTTCTAAATGTTCCCTTTTCAGAATGAAGACAACATTAATTCGAGAGAATGATTTTCTATCGACTGCAGGTTTAGATATCTAGGCTCTGTGAGAATTATGAGAACTTCCGACCGCACATGCTCAGTTTCGTTCAACTTCCCCTCTTGCAACCAAACCAAATACACGTTTTATCAAATTATTTTCGTCTGCGATAGTAATTCGTGAAATGTCGACCGAATCAAACGTGTTGTTCAATTTGCTCTTACAAAATAACTTATACAGTAAAAAAAAGATTTTTTGGTGAACTTAATGAAATCTCAGCGTATTGAAGAGAAAAACTTTTGCTTCGTCTTCTAAATGGATAAGAAAGTTGATTGTTTATGAAGGTATAAGAATAACAAAAGTTCATAATTATCGGATTATTCAGCAATTTGTGATAAGAAGAATTTTCGGTTTGAAAGAAATTTAACACGAGAAAATTATTTAAGCGTTGAATAAAAAAAAGTTGAAGGAAGAAAAATGAAATGTCTTAGAAATAAAAAACAAGGAGAAACAAAATCTTTCTGCATTATTAAATGTCTTGTGCTTTTGGAAATGAAGAACACGGAAAGCATCATAACAGAGTGGGACGATGAAAAATTTTAAAAATAAGTACGATGAGATACGAACAAGAAATTTATGACGATAAAACACATTATGGATTATGACACGACATTAATTCGCTTTGAAGGAACAATATTTTCGCGGCTTATTTATTTCATAGTCCCTCGTTTATTTTTTGAAAGCAAGAAAAGTTTATTTCTAACAATGAAATGTAAAGGAAGAGCGAAAATATTTTAATATCTTTAAATTACATAACTCTCTTAGATAACTATCGTCGTCACATTTATTTCTTTTGTTCAACGAAAAATGTTGTGACTTCCGCCGTGATAACGACAGAAATAAACATGAATGAATGGTGAGGTGAAAGAGGGTGAGAGAAGGTAAAGGAAGGTTGAATATACAATCAAAGTTCATCACGTGGATATATTGTTTGCATTGAGTGCCACTTCACTTGTTCCGGCCTTCAAAACTTCTTTTTCCTTTCTCTTCGCAGTTGGAGAACCACCGACTGTTCATTTCTGCTTCACCTTGAAAATCTTTTTCTTCAACAACAGAACAAATGAAGCTAAATAAGAATCGACAAAATCTCGTAAATAACAACTTTTTCCATTTATTGATCCTGACGGCATTCTTAGCCTTTTACGCCAATTTATCATTGCTTTCAAGTGCTTCACATACTCGCAACGTCATGTGAAAAAGAGGCAAAGAAAAAGAAATGTTTCGAAGAAAAATTAAAGCTAATAAATCACTTCGACTAATAATCGTTGCAATTGCCGAATTTCTCTGCATGATGTGGTGGAAAGGCGAGTGAATTTAGAGTGAAGGAAAATCTTTTTCTTTGGACATGTAAAAGAAATCTTTTTTTTGGTGTTATATGCGAGACGAATAAATCATTGTAGCAGATGAAGAAGGATTAAATTCCGAGTTTTATTGAAGACGGAGAGAAAAGCTTTCATTTATAACATGCAGTAGCATAACGGAAAAGCTTTAGCTAGCAAATCTTATTATTAAACACATAATTGGCAGCTTTCATTTGGAGCCCAATGGAAAGAAAGGGCGCCATAAAATCTCATAAAACGCTTTTTGGGTTGATTAATTTTTCCGGAATAATAAATTCTCTTCAGTTCGCAGGTTTTATATGAAAATTCTCATTTTCTTAATCATGCTTCTTTCTTCTCTCAGTTTGCTATTTATTCTGGTGGATGAAGCTACGAGAAGCAAAATCAAATACAAAGGACATTAATCTAGATTTGAAGCTGTTAAATAATTTCATTTCCGTGCCATATCTTCAGTTTAAGCAGAGTGTGGCTTAAAGGGCCATTAAATCTTTCGCAGTGTTATAACTAAACTCCTTAAATAAATGATAACTTAATAAGGGATTTCGTGACGATAAAATTGTTTATTGATTTCAATTTTGAAAGCCATGTCAAGTTGGAAACTTTAAGTGTTTGTAATAATATTTAGGAATGTGAACGAGTTGATTAGACGTGGGACTATCGATTTTTACGCGCTTCAAGCTTTGTTTAATGAAACTAAATATTTCAACTGTTTTCATGTTAGATGTGTGAATGAAGATGCGACATAACAATAACAATGAACACTAATGCTTTCAACTTGTCATGAACAGAAGAGCTTTTAACTCTATGAAAAGAAGCTTTTGAAATTTTCATGATAAAATCTCATCGTCTGACTTTTGCTAGATAAATTTGTTTATCCTTAAGTTTTATTTTTTCTACAAAATTTAAACTCGAGTAAAATTATGCATTTTTATTATGAATATAAAATTAATATTGCATGGAACATAAAAGGAAAATTTTGATGATTCTTATGTGAAATTGTTTTCTCCAGATAGAAATTAATTAAAAACTTAAACTTCGGTGAAATGAGAAATTCATATCTAAAGTTATGCAAATGGCATTAAAAAGAAATTCTAAAATTATATTTCACTCCACAGCTACCATTTTTCAGGAAGCTCGTAGTGGATAAATATAAAAATATTCTGACAACACCAACAGCACGGTATGGAGACATAAAGTGAAACGATGGAATATTTAATTAAAAATGTACTCAGTGATATTGTATGACGATGAACAGCTGAGTCATATGAAGTGAACATAAATTGTGATTCAAAACTAAAACAGAAGAATAAAAAGCAAAAATTATTTGTCTCAAATTTAATAATAGGAAAATCTTCTTGAAAGTTTATTAAAAGTGCTTCAAGCAAAAAAGAAATAAAAAGAAAAAACACAAAGAAAGTGTTGAAACATGAGCTCAACAAGATTAATCACAAATAAATTATGTAAAAAAGTTCACACAGTGTTGTTCATTCTTCTCTATGGATTATTTTCAACGCACGCCGCCATATCAAACAGAAACACAAAGTCATTAGGTAAGTTACAAAGTTTAAAAGTTGCCACATCTTTGCTTTCAACACTCTTCAACTCAGTCTTTCTCTTCCTTGATTTCCAGGTCTTTTCAAAAGACAAAAAAAAAACTTTTCAATTATCTAATGCTTTAAAGATTTCCTCCTACACCTTTTATAATGGAACATGAAAAGCTCATTGTAAGCTCGTCTCGTAATTGACGTTGTTGAAAAGCAAATCAGCGTCTAAGTAGCTTCAATAAAATAGGCTTTCATGAAATGGAACCTTTTTCTAATAAATAACAAGCTTTCACACATATTACGCTCCTTGAAATTTTTTCCCTTCTCCTTCACTTAACTTTTTAATTGGAATCTTTTAAAATAAGAATTTGTGATACTTGACGCATGAAAAATGTAAAATGTAAAAGTTTTTAATTGAGAATCTTGAAAATTTTCTTGCTTCGAGTATGAGCGCAAATACAAAATCAATAATGGTTGAATTATTAAAATTTTAAAATTTTTATTTGTTTTCGCTTATTGATTATCGCTCATAAGTTATAAGTTAAAGCATTAATATTTATGTTTCAATGAACATATCTGAAAGTTTCTTTATGTTCTAATAGTTATTGATAATCTAGCATTAACTTCAAAACCAGACGATAAAATAAAAATAACTTTTTTACTGTCTAAATTATTCAAGAACGTGTGGGGAAAGCTTTCATTGTTTGTTTGACGTTTCATTAATATTTACACACTAGATATGTGAAGCATTTTTCTCTAAAAACCTCAAACAATTATTCAAAGCATCTTCGTAGAATGAGAAAATTAAATTTTATGAAGGGTTTTGCAGGCTCTCAAAAAGTTTGATTTTCCCTAAGTTTTTAGTTTTAAAAATCTCGATTTATTGCCTATTAGAGAGTATGCTTCTACATATCATATTATGGGAATATCAGGTATTAATCTAGCGATTTTAAACCTATCTGATCAATGACAAAATTTGATGTATTAGTGAATGATGTGACTTGCGAAAATGATGTAATGTAAGGAAAATTCTGAAAAACCTTACTACTACTTGCATACTAAAAATTAACATTAAACAAGATTTTCCCTAAACCAAAGTCTTTTATGTAACATGTTCGATTTTATTGAAAAAAATTAATTTGAACATGTTTGAATGCTTTTGAAATTGCATGTCATTGCAAGCATAAAAATGTGTATCGATGAGTTATAATAAAACGAGAATGTTTTAATCAAACATCAGAGGAAAAATCAATAAATCATTGAGAAAAAATTTCTCAAATTGCTTTCCATGTTCTCGATGAAAAAAAAAATCGCTTCAAGGAGAAAATTGGGAAAAATCGAGATGAAAATGCGGAAGGAATATTAAAGCTTTTCAATTCATAAGTTTCCGCTTTCCCATAGATGATATTATGTTTAAAGGAATAAATTTTATTGATGTTTCGGTTATTGTATGTCAAGGAAGGAACTTCATAAAAAAATAAAACGTGATACATACATGATTGTCTCCTTTGTGTGTGTGTGTGTGCGTGGGAGTCATTCAATTGTAAGCCTTTTCTATTTATTTTTTTTCCTTTGTTATGACAATGACGAATACCGAAAAGAATCTAATCGGATGACGCGCTTTCAATAAATTTCATAGAAAGTTTCAACGACTTCATGTCGTTTTGATATTTATTTATGGATTATTTTTTAATTAGATAATTCAATTTAATAACAAACCTTCTTTAATCATCTATTATGAAAATCAAACCTACATGAACATGTCTAATTATCCAACCGTTATTAAAAGCAAATCTGAAAATTTATTCATCGCAATAAGCTTTTGAATAGAAATTTTTACCCACATGCAGTACACAAAAATTTTATTTCAAACATTAGAAATGTGTAGCAAATAGCAATAAACGAAAAAATGAACAAAATAATATGCAAATGAACAACTGAAATTCATTGCAGGACGGATAATCGATCAGACAAACCAAATACTTATCAATTTTCGCTTGTATGTATGGCTTATTGTTATTGCATGCATGGAATATTGTTTTCATGTTCATTAATCGTTTGCTATAATCAAAATATTTTAAATGAACAGTCTGCTTTTGTTGATAGTCAACAGCGAGCTTAATCACAGTTTGTCGTTGGCAGATATTCTGAAACTTTCAAATGTGGATATTAAATTTCAACCTAAGTTGAATAACTGTCTTCAATGACTCTTCCACCTTTCATAATCAACATCACAGCCAATTTAAAACTCTAGTCAGGAAATGAGGATCAATATGTAAATTGCAATGAACGCAAGTTAATGAAACGAGATAATGAACATGTCAATATTTTATCATGATAGAAATTAGAAATTTTCATGTCTACAATTTAAAAGCTATTTCTCGATTAGTTATCATGATGACTCTGTTCATTTATTGCATCATCAATTTTTACTCGCGTTAGAGAATTAAAATCACGTTTTCGTCCCTTGACAATCAGTAATATTGCCATAAAACTCAAAATGCACAGAGAAGCGATAGAAAATTATGATGGAGAGAACAAAAAAAATAAATACCGAAATTTATGGGATATTAAAACGGTCTTTGACCTTTTTTTTCTGCAAGAAAATTAAGTATCGCTGACCCCCACATCACAGAATTTCATTTCAGATACGCAGTTGATAGTCTAATAATTATTTTGTTTTTTAAATCTAAAGCTTAGGGTGGGCGATGATGGAGGAAGAATAAAATAAAGAAAAAAACGACATCAACAACAAAATATCGTAAAATAATTGAAACATGGCTTGAGGTGAAATTTTCAATTTAATTTGGAAAACATTTCAAATACATGATTCAAGCAAGCGTAAGAGGGGAGGAAATTCCAACGAAACTCTCATTCTTACTTTTAAATTGCTATTGTGTTAGGGGGAAAGACCGAAAGTTGAGTTATTCAAATATATTGTCAACATGATGATAGGAGTAGGTTGAAATAATGACATATAAAGTATATAAATATATTATTTTCAAATATTAAATTCTTCGTCTCTGTTCTGCAAGCAAATTTTCAACAGAAACAATTTAATGTGTCGCATGACTCGAGGGAATAAATGGGAACAAGGGATAAGAGTTAATTCTCATTGTTCAAAGTGTCGGAGAAAAGGAAACTTAAAGTCTTAGGAAGAAAACGGAGGAAGATTTAACGACTTAACTAAGACGACTGTCATAATAGTGAAAAAAGATTTTATGCTTTCAAACTATCTATGTCGAAATTGTAGGAAAAAGGAAAAAGCCTTCTTTAAAATCATCACGTTGCCTCATAGTACTAACTCAAATCTTATGAAAATCTGAAGAAAATATTTCAGTTCTTATTCAAATTGATGATCTTAAGCGATGGTTAGAATTTTATGTATATCAACATAACGAAGAAACAGATTTTATATTCAAGATTATTGATTTTCGCTTGAGGGAAGCAGATTTGAATGTAAATATTAAAAGCTTTCCACTCAAACTTCTCATCTTAACATATTTTTTCTTCAAAAGGGTAGCATATCAAATATGTTTTTATGTTGTGGAGGAGTCGGGAGATACAAACATACATACAGACGTGAATATATGCGAATTGTTATGTTTAAGGACTTTCAAACAAACTTATGCTTTTGAGTCTTTACATACTTTGTGACTTAAACAAATGCTGATTAAATGATTTAAAGTTGGCTTCTAACAAGCACAAAAAGTGAAAAATTACTCCCTTGACAATAACCGTTTGGGCTTATTTTGATGTCTTTTTCTTTTTACAAAAGATATCTTCTCATTTCTTATTAGGAAGGAAATTCTTACTGACCTCAATTGACTTAATACGGATTAAAATTTATTGCTCGTTCAAACTGCTGACCGATATCGAACCGCTATCATGTCCTTTCTTCACAAAAAAAAAAAAATAAAATAAAATAATAAAAAAAGAAGAATAAGAAAGGAAAGGAAAAGCCTTGAAATCTAAGACGTGCTTTTTTTGAAAACCGAAAACATCAGTAAAAAGATAAAATTTCCTTTGACGTAAATCTAAAAATATAAAAAAAAGTTTACCCCAAAGCTTTACTTACATTGAATGTTCCTTGTCAGAGTCGCTTTGAATCCTTAGAGATGACGATCGTCTTCATTATATTGATACACAACTAACTTCATATAAATATCCATTCACTTCAATATTCGCATCAGATAAGAGATTGATTTGAGAACGAGAATGAAAATTGTATCGTGATGCTAGGCTCGACGATCAAAAAAAAAAAGAAAAAATGAGAAAAGCAATTTCCTCCCTTTTTTGATTGTGGACAATTTATCTGTGAGCGAGATTTAAATTTCCTTCCTCCCATGTTCACTTTCTCTCTCTCTGTTTGTCTCTTTTTTAGGTAATAAATCACTAGCAACGACATCATCAACATCACAGCCCAGATTTATCTCACAAGGACACACATATAGGGCCGTTGTAGGGGAGACTTTAACATTGCCTTGCGAAGTAGAAAATTTAGGTAAGTCTAATTCGCCACTTGCATATTTTTAACGTAAAAACTCTTCTGAAAAGAAATTGAGAAGGAACTCTAATAACTTAATTGACAACCAGATTGACACGCTCCAACTAACTTCTTATGAAGATAAATTGCGAGAATGATTGAGAAGTGCACGGATGCTGTTCTAATCATTCCGTCACTGATTGTAACCTTTAGTATTAAACTCTTCTTCAAAATAACATCTCTCTTGAGGATCTCAAGTACGGAGGGAGAAAAGGAATGAAGTTCACTGTTAAAAGCACATTTTCAGTATTAAAATTTATTGTGATCCGAGAATATGAAGTGGAAGGATAAAATTAATGCCACATTTTCTCGTTGTTATCGTTTATAAGTTTTTTTCTTTCCAGTTAACCTTTTTCCTCGAGTTTATATCGTTCTCACACTTCTTTTGTCATCCTCGTTTATTATCAACTACAAATTATTCTCTCGAGTATTTAAACTCGTATTTAAAATTATAATAACTTTTATTATTTCTGTTTAAAAATAATTTTTTTTGGGCGAGGGTTACTACCTCGTAGAAATTTATTTTCATGTCACAACGAAACACTTTTTGTGACTCAAATCACGTGTACAATGATAATGGTAGCTAATGTTTTATGTTGAAAACTCTTCTTGTATACTAAGCGGTACTTAATGAACATAAATTTAATTTTTCATCTCTCTGTTCCCTCGTTAGGTTCTCTCGTTCTTCTTTGGCGACGTGGCACAAACGTCTTAACTGCTTCGACTCTCAAAGTGACAACTGATGAACGAATAAGACTTGTTAACGGTTACAACTTGGAGATAACAGAGCTCGAGCCACAAGATGCAGGTGACTATGTCTGCCAGATCAGTGATAAAGTCAACAGGGATCAAACTCATACTGTTGAAATTCTGGGTAAGTTAAAAAATGTTCAATCTTATCAAGAAACAAATAAGTAAATGTGAACAACACGACACAACTTAAATGCTTTCAAATGACATTAAAACTGTTTGTAATCGCAAGATTAAATAAATACAAACTTAACTTCAACATTTGTCGTTAACAAAATAACAAAGAAAGAAAAAAAAGAAGTAAAACAAAAAGAAAAGGAAAAGTTGCGATAACAAAAGCAAAGTCCTCGACTGTAATCTCGGTCGTTTGGGCATAATCACGCAATGTTCATTGAACCGTTCATACTTGATATTTACTGCGATGAAGGTGTATAATTTATGAGACTTTAAATACCCTTTCGCTCTGTTTCTTTCCTTTTGAATTTCCTTCGAAATTCCAAATTCCAAAAGAAAAATACACAAAAATAAACTTTCTCTAATTTTGTCGATTAAACAGAAAAAGTTTTTCCCTTAAATGACTTTTTTTTTTGGAAAATCAACCTTTTCAGATCAATTATAAAATTACCATTCAGACTTTACGCTCTACAACTTTTTCTGAATTTGGTTTATGACTTGACAAAGCATAGAATTACTTAAATATTAAAATATGATTTTTATGGGGGCCAATAATAATTTCACAATATTTATGATGTTTCAATTATTCCATAAAATTATGAAACAAGAAAGAACATAAATTTTAAAGCATTATTGCTCAACATTAAATGTCATTAAAATGTATGATAGAGAAGAACGTGATTATGACCGTAAATTTTACTTTTTTTTCGATTTTTACAGTTCAACAATAAACTATTAATTGTGACATAACAGCACAAAACCCTTCTGACTTTATTGATTGTCAGAAGTCAAATTAATATAATTGAATATTTCGGTTCGATAAAAATTGATTAAACATCAATGACGTTGGTTTGGAAAAGAAATCAGAACATTTTCCCACATAAAATATTTCTGAATTTTTGTTTCTCTTACGATTCTTCAATTCTAAGTCTCATTAGTTTCACATTTCAAACACAATTTTTGCAGTTCCGCCAAGTGTCAGAGCAGTGCCGTCAAGCGGTCAGATAACAGCAAGGAAAGGTGGAGCTGTCACATTAGAGTGTAAGGCATCAGGGAATCCAGTTCCATCAATATATTGGACAAAAAAGGTGAACATCAATAAAAAAATACATTCGAGGGAGAATAAATTTTAATGATGATTTTTTGTTCTATTGTTCATTCACAGAGTGGATCGGGAAAATCACTGGCACGTATTGGAGAGGGACCGATACTAACACTGGAAAAAGTTGAAAGGTTACAATCGGGTGTTTACCAATGCACAGCTGAGAACAATGTTGGTGAACCAGTGACTGTTGACATGCGACTCGACGTGCTTTGTAAGTTTTTCGATGAAAAAATCCATCAAATGAAGTTTTAACCATGGTAACAAATTATGTTTTACTTTAATGGCATTACAATTTTCAATCAGTGTAATGGCTTGTATCGCTTCTCGAAATGGCAAAAGAGACATTTGCCACTCAATTTTCTGGCATTGTTCCACATTAAGCCACAAAAATCGATTTCGTAAAATAATTTGTGGCTTTGTCTCCCATCAAGACTTCAACTTCTCGGGCTTAAAAAGTACAAAATGAGACAAATTTTTTTATCATAAACTTTTGTTCAAAATGAGACACAAAAGCAATTAGTAAAACAGAATTTTCAGAGGCTTTCACTTAAAACATTGTCAAGTGAAACTTTGGTTCGTTTTTTTTCTTTGCCCAGCTATCAACCCTCAACCTCATCAAACATGAAGTGTTTTAATTATATTTGCCTTAATAATTACTAGCAACATGTTGTTCTGTTCTTAACTAAAAAAATTCTCTTTTTTAACCCTTAATATGTGTGAAAATTTTAATTAACTTTTCTTTCATCTCCAGATCCACCGGAAATTTCTGTGGAAAAGTCTTGGATACATTCGGGTGAAGGCTTCGAAGCGCAACTTGTTTGTATCGTTCATGCGGATCCGCAACCAACGGTGAGTAAAATTCAACATTAAATAACAAGGCTTATGAGCGAAGCGTTGAATGAAAGTTGTAAACATGCTAAAAGATGCTTTTCGTTTCACTATCAGTTTGAATATCTGTTAACTGGTTAACCGCACTCTCACTTCCCGACATTCCAATTTCAAGCAAGAAACATTGCAAAACAACCACGTCGGATGCTTTTACTCGTAAGATAACGATAAATTATAACATATGGATTAGTTTATGGACAATATATTATGAATGAGATAAGACTTTTCTGTTCGTAACTGAGTATTATAGAAACATTTTTCAAGCTTTAAGGAAAGCAGAATAAAAAAAAGGATGGAGAAGGAAGTCAGGAAATAAATGAAGAAACGATTCCTTGTTGTTTGCAGCTCTGTTTGTTTCGTTATTCTTTTCATGTGTGTTCGAGGGATTTGGGAATCTTTTAACAGCAGCAAACTAGTGTTTTGAATTGTTTAATAGCCTAAACGAGGGCCATTAGTAAAGGCATTTATGGATATTTATGAGCATAAATAGTTTTCCAAAGACGTAAAGATATTTTAAGGTTTTTTGAGGGCGTCAAATGGTGGCGGGCGCCATGGAAATTAAACTTATGAACAACTGCACAAGAGAAGGAACTTAAATTTTTAATTATTAAATATAAGATTTATGAGTTGAAAGTGTTGGGTGAATGTATTAAGCAGCATAAATTTTCATGCATTATGAGTTGGAATAACTTCAGCTATTATTTATTCTCCAACTTTAACAAAACCTTAGAAGTTCTCTGAAGCTTAAAGACTTAAAACTTTCAAAGCTTCTAATCAAAACTGAATATTCAAGCGCTTTAAGAGAGGTTATTACAGAGAATTTAGGTACTCAAAAGTATGTCGACCACCACTGTAGATATGCCATTGAAGAGATTATTCTATCGTTGCGAGAAATAAAAAAAAGAAAACTTTTAAACGAGAATGAACAGACAAAAGGCAGACAAGTTACTTCACAAAAAAAAGACATAAAAGGTTTTAATTTATTTGATCAACTTTTTTTTTCTGCTGTTAGTTGAACGAATGAAAAAAGATGGAAAGAGAAATGTGAACATGATTCACAGAGAAATTAATTTTGATTTTCTCTTCCGGCAATCGGCTTAATCCCTGCATGAAAGTGCTGCATGTTGTAGTGGTTATTGGTTAGCCAGAAGAAGAACATGGAAAAAGAAATTCAGGCAACAATTTGTTCGCCGTATGAAACATAGAAACTGTTAAAATTAATCCTAAAACACTATAAGTGATTACAAAGCGTTCATTGCACTCCTAAGTTAAGAGGATTAAAAGGTCTTACAAAGAGAATGGAAATAAAAATGTAAAGTGAACATTTGTGAAACATATTTCACTGAATTCATATTTTCTGCTTAGTTTTCCTTGTTCGAATGCAAATTACTTCAATTATATTTTCATGTAGCGAATAATCAACGCAAGAGAATGAAAAAAAAACAAAACAAATGGCACAAATGGTTTCCTGAAAATTAAAAACGAATGCTTTGTGTTGTCAGCAAAGGATTTGCAAAACTTTCTACGTTCATCTTCTTTCTCGTAAGTTTTGTAAGCATATCAAAAGGTAGAAAGCTTCTCATCATGAAAAAGTAATTGAAGATTGTTAATTTATACATCAAAGAAAGATTTTATTCATATCTTATTTCCTTAGCTCTTTGGGGATGTCATGTTTGTTGATGTTTTTTCCTTATCTGATTAAAATGATGGAAATGACATGTCATTAAGTTTCATGTTAACTCTCAATGGATTTCTTGACACTTCCTGTTGAGTTAAAGATCAAAATGTTTAACTCAATCTAAGTTGAAAAAATTCTTCTTGCTTTGAAAGGATCGTCACGAATATTCTTTCGAGAGAATGGTTGACTTGTTATTACTTACAAATTTGTAATTTCGTAGTGAAAATTCAATCGGCACATTGACAAAGTTTTAGTTCCTTTGAAAACTTTCACAATTTTCTCAACACGTTCGAAAAAAGCAACAAAAGAAAAGTAAAAGAAAAGAAAACTTAAACTTTTTAATTAAAGTTCTCCCAGACATGCTTCACATTTTCATCAGCCTTCGTCATTTGCATACGACAGCAATTAATGTTCGTGACTTTAATTACCTTAAATCCTTTTTCACCAACTAAAGTTTGCTTTTACTTTCACCTCCGAAAATAGGTCTCATGGTTCCAAAACTCATTTCCACTACAGCCTACCGACAGACGGATTATGTCATCACGTGGCAACCGTCACTCATTAAATATTCGTCACGTCATGCAAGAGGATTTTGGAAATTACAGGTAAATGCTATACTTAATTGTGAACTATGTAATCCATTTAGTATTTAATTAAATCACAATTAGTTGCGTTGCTGACAATTCTCTTGGACGTTCTAAGAAATATATGGAAGTTTCTGGTCGTCCAGGCCCTGCCGAATTTCACTCTGCACCATGGAGCAAATCTCCCGACAGCTACAATCTTACATGGAAGGTTGACAGCTATCCACCATTGCAGGAAGTGAGATTACTTTACAGAAAATTAATGGTGAGATGAAGGTTTCTTCTACAGGAAATAAAATTTAATTTATCAAGCTTTTTCTTTTTTCTTCCATCTATCTGTCTAGATGAATGAAACGTTCCAACAACCAGCACGTTGGCATGATGGTGAGATACAAAACATACATTCGTTTTATAAAAAAGCAATGTTCCAAGCCTGAATTTTCTATTTAAATCTCACATATCGTGATGTTTCTTACTTTCCCATCACAGTTATCTTGACGCCATCATCTCGTCCACTGAACGAACCATTGACACACGCCATGTCTTTCACACTGAGAGGTCTACAATCGGGATCTGTTTACGAAGCTATTGTTCAAGCTAAAAATCGATATGGTTGGAATGAAGTAAGTGCTTCACTACATTATAATTATTTATTTATTTATTTTAAATATTATCAACATGAAAGTGTTGAAATTTCCAACTTTAAATTTATATTCATTCTCAACATCCGCTTTGTTTTTCCTTTCTAAACACGATTTAGGTTAGTGATATATTTCAATTCTACACACAACGCAACCCATTGGATCCCCGTGTCGAGGAGTTGGAATTTGTTGCCAGTTCAACATCGCGCAATAAATCCCATAATCAGATATCGTCCTATCGACCAATTCTCTTATTGTTTCCTTTTCTTTTAGTTTTGCAATTAAATTTGCATAAGTGGCACTAGTGCTCCATGCTTCGAAATTTACATTTTACAGTGAAAATAGATTAAAGCAGCAGCGAAAAGTTTTATAAGATAATGTTTCTATTTCTACTCCCACACACCACCTCACCCCCTCTCTCCATCTCTTTTCTCTCTCTCTCTCTCGCACTTGATTTTTTTTCCGTGAAAAGAGAGATGGAAAATTTAAGAAAATGAATTGAAGAATGTGAAAATATGTGAAATAAATTTTCACAGAAAAAGGTGCAAGGACCGAGAATAGTTTTCCAATGTTGAAGCACAGTGGAAGACAACGAGGTAGGAAAGAAAAGTTGTAAATATATCTTTAAATCAGAGATAAGTAAGGCATAAGAGAAAAGATCTTTTTTCTACCTTTCTACTTTATTATTTTCTTCTTTTTTTCTCGTTTTCGTATCTTTCTATTATCTAAAGCAATCATAGAGATAAAAATCGTTTTCCTTCTATCATAAGAAACCTACAATGTTAGATGATATCTGTTGATTTCAAAATGGAATAATTTAATGTACAACTTTCACTTGAGAAACCATTAAAAGTGTCAATGATTGAAGATGACAACTTGACATGATTTGACACTTGGAATGAAAACTTCTTTCTCATTCTTTCTTTTCATCACGTAAGCATGAAATCGATGAGAATTGAAAATGTTGAGTGTTCTCATTAATAAAAATTTCCATCAGCTTTAATCCCTTTTGAATAATAATTTTGTACATGAAATTCAGATTTTCTACCATTATTTTATAGTTTGAAGTGCATTCATGCATAAAAAAAATCTTGAAGCATCCTTATCGTCAGTTTCGTTCAGAAAATTTCCAAAAGTTTTTAACATTAACATTATGGTGGTAGCTAAATGCACAGTGATGAGATGATATTGTTGTCTGGTGTTGTAAACGAAATCTTTTGTCTTTCGAGACTTGCTTTTTGCTTCAACTGGTTTGTTTGGATGGAAAGTTCATTCGAATGAGAATATTTACGCTGACAATTTCATTTCAAAAAGAGAAAGGAAAACTTCTATCATCACCCTGCACGAGACTCGCCCATAATTTTGATACAAGAAACCAAAGTTTCCGTTTACGAAATAGCGGAACTCATGCATGGTAAAAGCTCCATAATTTATTCAAATTGAAAACAAGATTCGAGGGAAATAAGAGTGTACATGCAATGATATTAGATTGTTCCGAAAAGATCAAAAATTATTCGAAGATGAAAAGTTTCTCTTCTTCTTTCATTCTTTTTTTTGGTAAACTTTTTCAATTTGTTTTCTTCTCAAAAATTTCTTTTTTTTCTTCTACTTTGCTGGTGCTTTCTGGCAGTCTTTATGAAAAGTATATTATTCTATGATTTACTTTGAAGCGGAACAGTAAAAGAGAAAAAGCTTCGCATAAAGTTTGTGAGTATAGAAAAAGTTTTTTTTGTATTTCTACAGCTGGAGTTGTCAGGACTTTTTTTCTTCTTTATTTTGTGTACCTACGAAGTAAGAATTGAAAAAGATTCGCTTTTCATCTCCGAAGACGAATCTAATTTTCACCTTTGAAATTTTAAAAAGAAAATGAAAAGAAAAACCCCTCTCGAAAGTTCATGTAGATATGTAACTTGGTTGTGTACTTATCATAAAATAAATTACTTATAAACATCGTTTTCTGGTATGCAATTGAATGTTTAAAAAATAAAATCGGTTCATGATCTTTTTGAGCATTCTTGAAATCTCTTGTGATGTTTACAAATATAAAATTTCTACTATCGCGCAATTCACTTAAGTGAAAACTTTGCAAGTTCGCTTCAAGAAATTTCAAAAATATCTCACCACAAAGAAATAATGGTAAAGTCTTAAACTGCATCTTATGTTTGTTCATCTTAATAGAATATTTTAGCAGACATAAAGTTAAATAAACTTAAAGAAAGAGAAAGAACTTGAAGAGACTTTTTTTGATATGAATGTACCTTAAATAAGTGTTATGTAATAATTATTTTAAAGAGGGAGGAAAATGTAGACCTGTAAGTTTTATTTCAAAACCAGAACGTAAACTAATGAAGTAGAAAATTAAGGAACATGAAAAGGGGGAAAGAAATTAAAATTAGAGTATTGTAAGCTGTAACTAAGAATAAAATTGTAAAATAAAATAAAAAAATGTAATTAAGAGAACAATTCCCATTGTTATTTTGTTTCTCAATTGCGCATTTCTGATTTTCCAAAAGCGTTTCATTTTCAGCTACGAGTAATTAATTTCATAATTAAAACTTCTTTTGAAGCAGAAGGAAAACAAATGATTTGTGTTACGACAAAACATAGAAATTATATAGGTAAGTGGTGAGAGAAGTCTAAAGCATTGCTACTCGATATCATCAATGTGGTTCTAGTCAGCACGCAAAATGTTAATTAACCAGATTTTCAGTTTAATGAATCATGGAGAATTTCCCATCGCGCCTTTCAACTTCAGGTTATCACGGGCATCATGCTGAGTATCAAATCACCATAACGAATTTAATGTTTTCAATCTGCACGCTTTCATAACATAACTCAATGTATAAGGAAAGAATAAAATCTTTTTGAAATGAAATCTAGAAATACTAATGATTTAATTTAATTAACAATTGCAGCGATTAAATTCTCGTTAATTTCAATTGCGAAACTTTCTCATTCCGATCCAGAGGGTGTCTCTCTCAAGAGTTGTTGAAGCCGTATGGGGATTTAATTGTGCCAATGACGGTAATTATTATACAAACTACAAACGAGGCTTGTGCATAATGATGAACCTACAAATGAAGTTTAAAAACTTTTAACCCATTTTTCCTTCATTTGTCATTCCAAGTCAAGTTTCAGGATAATTTTCCAACGATGTAAACGAAAATAAATGAAATCAAATCGAGAACAATCAACAAATGTGTCAGAGGCGCTTCATGTTGCGCCATAAAATGTTACGAAAGTGTTTATACTCCAGGATATAGTTCAAAAGGTCATTCTCGTCTAGCATAAGCGTTTATCGAATAAAAGTTTTATGAATTATTCATGAGGTTTGTTACTCTCCACCACACACTCCTATCGTTTCAAATACTGAATGTTCTCGTTTTGTAGTGGAAAGAAAGGAAAGAAAAAAACCTCGACTCTGATTATGAGAGTGGCCCTTGACAGATAAATGTAGCACAAACAATGTGTGAAGTCTCCTTTGTGGGTTTATGATACGGCTGCTTCACACATTGAACTAATTCTCATGATTTTGACTTATGAATAAATTTACCGATGCTTTATCGTACAAGCTTGCTTGCCTTCTTCTTTTTTATTTTCACCAAAACTCGTCATCGGCCTCAACCCAGCCAATTACGTTATGTTTTCCACAAGCTTGAATTAAAAATTACTTTTTATACATCTTTTGTTGTATTTAGAGTGCAAATATAAAAAGACGGCAGTGGAAAACACCGGTGAATTTCAACGTTGATTTATGCGTTTACATTTGCGATATTAATGCTTTTCTTTCTTATTTCTTTCCTTCTAGAGCCATTGAGAAAAAGAACTCTTGCTAATGGAGCATAATTTACAACTTTAGGTTCTAAATACGTAATTTATGGATTTAATTTATGATATTGTCAAGCGCTGTACTGTTTTAAATTGCGGTGTAGAAAATTATGTTGTCCCCATTGCTACATTTTATTATATTTATCGCATAAAGAAATAAAAATGAGAAGGAAGATTCGAGTGAGCATTTCATAAACTTTCAATGTACTGATTTTAGCTCGAAATATTTTTTATGTTGATTTTCATGTTTGTTGTTGTTGCTGTTTTAAAGCTGAAAGTTTGTTTGGTTTCGATGTGAGTTTTGTTAGTTCTTCAGACAATGTTGTCATGTTATGTTATTGCTTCTGGGCATTAAAGTGGATGTACAATGATATCCTTGTCACTTTAAGCAAGAACTGAAGGAACTTCTTGGCTTTGTTCATCCCTGAAATTAAAACGACGATTCAATAATTTTGTTTTGGCTTAGCCTTCATTCAAACTCAGTCTTACTGCAACACAATAGAGCGATAAACTTCTTAATTTACAATACAAAGTTCTAATGAATAACTAATTTTTGGTCACTATACAAACAAACTAGAAAACTGAAGTTCAAAATTGATAAACATGTGAAAATTTCTAAACTTTTTTTTGTTTTGTTCGACACTTTTTAATCACATTAGAACAGCTTTTCATCCTTCAACTTTTGCACTTCTTCTTTCTAGTTGTTTGAAAATTTAAATTTGCTTGAGAACTTTCCACCGAAATTCGAAAGAAAGTTTTGCAGTCGGAAAACTCTCTTCGTTCGTTCGATGAATGATAAAGAAAAATTGTCTTGTCGTGATGGGAGATAGAAAGGTTTTCTTCTTTTTTTTGTAGTTTTAAGTTTGATATTTTTGTGGCATTATTTTCAAGAAGGAAATTCAAAGTGTGATAGTTTTAATGAGATAGAAGACATGTTTAAATTAAATCAAAAACTTTTTTATGGTTACGAAAACTCTGTAGAGAAATTCTTATTTCGATAAATGAAATAACAAGGAAAACATCTTAAAACCTTTTCTTTTCTTATTCTTTCTAAAGAAAGAATTGCCAGACGAGTGCAGTTAACAAATGCGCATCGATTTATCAATATTGAAATAAAATTTACGGTTTATTCATTTTACACTGCTCTATTGTGTAACTAATAGCGCAATTTATTAAGAAAGAGTATTGAAGATAACATTAAATTTCTACTCGATATTTTTTTACACATTATTAATGGTGAGAGATAAAAAGCTGTGCTTGTGACTTGAAATGTATTTTTCTCTTTAATGAGTTCATGCTTTGTCTTATGTTTACATTTTGAAAGAAAAAACTCCCCAACAAACATTTCTTTCATATGCATTAAAATTTCTCCCTCGGATCAAATTTCCTTGCTTCAAACTCTTGACCTGAAGTATTCTCCTCTTCTCAAAGATGCTTTCCAAACGATAACAAAGTTGAATATTATATTGCATACATTTTAACATAAACATTTATATGAAAATATTCCGATAATAAAGTTTTCTTTATTTTGAAGCCTTTCAAGGGAGATGACTCTTTGGAAGTGAAATAGCAAAATATTTTTTATTCTTCACTTTAAGTTGGGAAGTTTGTGAATGTTAACCAGGATATGTTATATAAATTTCCGGAAATATAATCTCCATATTATGATGGAAGCAATAAAATTATCACATTATTGCTTGGATTGCACTGAAGATATGTGTGGGGCAAAGGAAACAAATTGAAGTTTTTTTTCATTTTTATTATCCACAAGGCTTTTACGGATTTCGCATTCATCGAAGGACTTTACGATGCATCTAAGTATTTATGTTAGATATTTATGCTAGAACGCAAAAAAAGAAAATAAAAATTCGTTTTTATTCTGATTTATCATCATGAAGACGACGCAGAATGATTGCGATGTAATCCAAACAACAAATGAAAGAAAAGATAAAAAGGAAAACAGCTTGAAAGAGACTCGAGAAAATTGTCGTCAGACGTTTCTTAACACTCACTTAAGCCGCAAATCACTGATGAATGAGAAGAGGAAGATGGGAAAAAATTCATTTATGAACATTTTTCATCAATTTTATCGAAATCAAAATCTTCTGTTTTCTGTTTCTGTGGAAATGAAAAGAATGAAAAAAAAAATATGAATTCCAATTCTATTTCAGTCTTCCAACCATCAGTCGTTGCTTTGAGCTTTCCGTCACTTCTCACGTAAAAATAAATCGAACGTTCATGCTAAAAATTCATCACAGCATTTTTCCGCTCACTCTTCGAATGTGTATAGAAATGATTTCCTGATTTCAGATTTTTTTATTCAATATTTTTTAAAACTCAACTTTCTTTTGATTCCATGTTCGAGTAGAGTAAAAAAGCGAAAATGTAAATAAAATTCTATGTTTGCTTCCTCTCGTTTTATTACATTCAATGATGGTATGTTGTGTGTTAGCTTGTTGTATTTGTTCTATAATATAAATATGGCTTATGAGGGCGAAATGTTATGAAAAGAAGTTTGACATGACATGAAAGGACTTAAGAAAATATCTTCAAGTGAAGGAAGATGTAAATTGAGAGAACATTCTAAGAATTTATTTGCAAAAGTTCATCTACTGAGTAAACTAATAAACATTGCTTTTTGCAATTTTAATCGTTTTAATGAGAAAACTTTTAGTTATAAAATTCCTACGGGTAATAATCTCAATCAAATGAATGTTTACATTATTTACTGAATTTATGCAAACTTTAACTCGATCGTAATAGAAATCATGAAGCTAAACAAACATTAATCTTGCAATTTTAGTTGAACCTTCAAGCTCTTTATTCGATAAAGTTTATTGATGACATTTTTCAATGAAAAAGCATTCATAAATGCAAATATTACATGCAAATAGCAATTTCTAAATGCACAAACGTAACTTAGTCGCCTATCACAAAACTTTCATATTTATGACTCAAAATATGCTTACAAGCTTTTAAATTTTATTAAAATGTACTTCCACATCGAATTGCAGAATTTTTCTACGCTGTGCATACGACATTGATATTAACAAAGTTTTTTTTTGAATTTTCGATAAAAATTTATTTCTTCTGACTTTCCACTTTGTTAAAATATGTTTAGTATCAGTGAATCGATAGAACGTTTGGTCGAATGAAAAGCAGATGACGGTATTTGTGTTGAGGTCTTTGGGGAGCTTCAAAAAGATTTTCGTGGCCATAAAATTTAATGTCCTCGGTGTTCCAAATTTAACAAGCAAAGCTTCTATCACAACTCGTTATGATCAAAATGCTCAGTACTTGGACAGAAACCAACTTCCGAGTTTTGGCTATCACTTCTGGCTTATTGTTTAAAGTTAAATTTAATACTGAAGAATGAAATTTCTCTTCAAAATACGAACAAAAATTTTTTAAACTCTTTAAAATCTTCAATTTCCACACATCCAACAAAATAATTAATAAATTTATATGAAATTAAGAATTTTAAAACATTAATAAATATTTTAAATTTCATGTTGAATTCAAGACTTGTTTGTGCCAGGGATGAGTGTAATTAATCAAGAAATGTTTATGCAGCATTACCTCAAATTATTCATCGCCCGTCCCTCAAAGCAAAAGTGTCATTCGATATTTATCGCTTCTATTCATCATGATTAAAATTTTAATCTTTTCAGCATACACTCACTCACACACACAAATGTAGATAAAGACATTCTAACATAATTTTAAACTTTATGTTCTTACTTAAATCTATCCTCGTAGCATGAGTTTAGAAGCACTCAGTTTGCAGAACACTTCAAAAGAAGGAAAGAACCTTGAATGATAAATTTGATTCTAAACTGAAGATTTTTTTATTATTCCATCTTGATGACCTTTTTTGTCGACGTGAAAAGCAAGGACTTTAGTGGAGTGAAGTGGAGAGAACAACAGGAAAACACTCGAAACTTTGTCAACAAAATATACGCAAATACATTTGATATGTTGATGGTGAAATTTTCCACTTTCCTTCTTCCAACTTTCAGTAGCGTTCCTGTTTAATGTGCTATGATTTATATCAAGAGACATGACTGAAACATTCTCTCTCATCGAACTTCCTGTCTATGCTACTGTTTAGAATAAATAAATATGTGGGCATGTGTTTTATTTACATTTCAAGCATAGATATGCGATAATAAAACACACAACGAGAGAAAAAAGCTCGTAAATAAAAAAAAGAATAACAACAAAAAACATTTCCGCTGCTAACATGAAAGCAAAAAAATATTCGAGCCGAATTTTGTGAGTTTAAGCAAAAGAAGAAAGCAGAAGCAGGGAAAAAAATGGATGAAAAGCAACACAAATCAATTTATTTCAATCAATTTGTCAAGCACTTGTATTGCTGTTTTGCTATTTGGATTGGATGTTTTATGTGTTTTTCCTCTCGTGTTTTCACTCACCAATTTCACCCGAATTTACCTTTTACAATCAATTTCGAAAGACTGTCAAAGCTGGCTTTTGAGGAAAGTATTTGTTTTACATCAATATTGATTGAATCTCGATATTATTATATTATTTAGATTCAATAGCCTCGACTTATGTACATTCGACGTAAGCAAAAACATAATTCGAAACTTTTCTTTTTTTATGATGAAAAGCTTGTGTTGTGTTGTACTGTTTATGCTTTAAGGCAAAACATTCAGAAACAAAGTGATTTTATTAAGCCATTAAAATTCATGAACAGAGTCGAGAGTCGAGCATTAAACTCTGCCGGAATTGAAATGATTTTTAAAAAAAAATTGTCAGAAATTCTTCGCAGTTTTCTTTTTGCTTTTTCAAAGAAGTTCATCATAAGTCCACCCAATGTTATTTCAGATGCTGTTTGAAGATTGTCAAAAAGTAGAGAAGCTTTAGGATTTAATTAAATAAAAGCTTTCTTTCCTTCAGCGAAGTCGCCCCCAGTTTCGACTAACGAAAACAACATCAAAAATGACATCAATTTGATGTCAATGGCATTCAGCAGTAAAAAACATTTTTATAGCGATTGCCTTTATCATTTATCCATTGAATTTCAAGTGTAAGTCAGCTTTGCCTTTATTGATGTACATTGTAAAGTGACATTCTATCGCCATCGGCTTCACGGTGAAGATGAATGTAAATAAAAATTTTATTCTTGTATTGTGGTTGACATGGGAGATGCCAAAAGAGCTAAGATGAGTAACAAAAATAAAAAACGAAAGAAATTGCTACATAAACTACACAATGGTATTTTATTTGGCAAACGTACATATAAAAAATTGACGACCGAAATCAAAAGATCGAGTAAATTTGAATTACAATGCAACATTAAAGTGTCAAGGAAGATCGGTCGCGATTGCTTCGGTTTTATGATGCAGTTTTACGACGTCTCTTGTGATTCATGCAATAATGATTGGATTGTACAGACATGTCGTCAGTAGAATAAGCAAACAGTCATATAGAGCACTGATGAATCACCGTTTAAGCGGTTGACAACCTTAAGACTACTTTTTAATTTATTCTTTGTCTGTGGGAAATCCAACTCATACAACTTATGGATTAAATTTTAATTTAGTGCCTTGATTAAAAGCATTGAGAAAAAAAACTTTTTCAGCGAAAATGAATTAAAATTAATTTCAAGAATTTTTTCTTATTTTTCTCAGTGCAAGAATTTGATTTTTGAGGGAAAATCCCGAGGAATTTATTCCAAGAAATTATTAGTATATCAATTTATGGAATGCTTTTGAATATTAAATGTAACACACTAAAGACACTTTGTGTCAAAATTAATTCATTGACAAATTAAATTAGCAGCAAACATTTCAACTCAATAATATTCACTTCAAGCATAAATGCTTTCAACGCAATTTGGTATTCAAAAACAGTACGAACAATGCCAATGATAATTCCAAGACATCACGCGTGTGAAATTTATTGTTTTTTCGGTCTTTAAAGGCACTTCACTCACTCACTTTTTAACGCAGAGATTCCGGTTATTACTATGCGAACAGGTTTGACTTCTTTGAGACTAAATAATTATTCACGTTTTTGGCTTTGTATTGATTATTCTGAGAGAAATCCATCCAGTGTTGTCTTAGCTTTTGACAAAAGCGCACTTTCTTTGTGACTTTAGTGATAAAGTTGTTGATTATGAGCCTACATTACAATAGATTATGAATAAAACTTGGCTAGCGTTAATTTTAGTGTTTTGCATAAAAGCATCGCTTACACGTATGGTTTTGTCATTGAATTTCATTCACTTTTTGTTGTTTATCTAGTTTACACAAAACAATTTAAAAACTTTTTTTTCCATTGTTTGTTTCTTTCGACATGAGTTCGAGAAGAATGTTTTACGTATTTATTCGATGTTGTGTTTCTCAGTTTCTCAACCAGCACAATAATTTCTGTGTTTTTGTTGTTTTTTGGTTTCAGAGTTCAGCCAGAAATGTTCCACATCAAGGATGCGAGGCGAATGTATAGCATACGACATATGTCCGTTTATTAAAAAGCTTGGAACAATCGTTTACCAAGATGACATTACTCAGCTTCGAGACCGAGCGTCAGCATGTAGGAGATATGGAAATAAATTGATGTGTTGCGAGGAGGGTGCCGTTGACAATGGAAGTGGAAGCGGAACTAAACCTCCAACCATTCAACCTACAACTATAATGCAATCGACAAGAAATCCGACAACTAACATTGGAGCTACGAATGGAAACAGAAATCAAGCCCAGAGAGATCCTTTAAAACATCCAAATTACCGGCATTTCAAGAACTTAAAATGTGGAATAATTTCATCGAATCGTGTTGCGAACGGTAACAAAAAAACATCTCCTACTTAAATACAGTGGAGTCTCGATAAAAAGAAAAAGATTTTCAAAGTTAGAGCTTAAAATTAAATTCGAGTTATCGAGATTTCACTGTAAATATAAACGATTTCATTCATCTTGCCATCATTATAGGTAACGACTCAAATCTGTTTGAGTTTCCCTGGGCAGCAAGACTTGGTTACGATAACCAAGGATTCAATATTGAATATAAATGCGGTGGCACAGTCATTTCAGGTTTTTACATTCAGAATTTCAATTAAAGATCAATGGAAAGTTGTTACTTTTTATATCCTTTCAGATTTTTATGTTCTCACAGCTGCACATTGTTTACGTTTCTCGAAACCTAACATAAAACTGTAAGAATTGTTAATTTATTCATAGTGTTTGATTTAAAATAATATTTTGTTTCGATTTTCAGGTCAACTGTTCGTCTCGGCGATTGGGACACAAGCACTGAACGTGACTGCGACTACACCTATCCAAGTAATCCAATTTGTGCTGATCCAGTTCAAGATATTGCAGTGGCTTCTTACACTCCACATCCAAATTACGATAGAACAAACATTCACAATGATATCGGCATTGTGCGTCTTCAAGAAGCTGCCAACTTTAATCAAAGAAATATTCGACCAATTTGTTTACCTTTTACGAGAGAACTTCAAGAACTTCCAGGAAGATTCGTTGTCATAGGTTGGGGTCGTACTGAAGATTCATTCAATTCAAATATTTTACAAAAAGCGAGTCTTCCACTTTATGAGCGTGATAAATGCCTTAGGAAATTTTCAACACTTCCATTGAAGAAAAGAATTATTTTCATTGATGGTCAGTTCTGTGCAGGTGGTGAAGGTTTGTTTGGAAAAATTAATAAAGGAAAGAAAGAAATTTAAAGTAATTAAATCTTTTACAGGACGAGTTGACGCGTGTCGTGGTGATTCCGGATCGTCGTTGCAAGCAATTGGAACTGTTAACAATCGTCCCCGAATGGTACAATACGGCATTGTATCGTACGGCACCACAAAGTGCGGCATTGAAGTTGGATTTCCCGGCGTTTACACGAAAACATCTGAATATTTAAATTTTTTATTGGACAATATGCAATAAAATCTAATCTCGCACGAAATCCAAGAGACTTAAATTGAGATTTGATTTTTGCCTCTCACAATGGCAGCAGTTTATGGCTTCGACATTTATTTTCAATTGACAGCAAGCACAAAAGTTTAATATTGTCGTCCTTTCTCATTCTCATTCATCTTTACGATATTGAAAAGTGGAACAGATTTCTCTGTTATTTGTGGTTCGGAATATAAAAAATAAAAACGATTCTCCTTTTCCTCTATAGACATCAAGCTTGAGAAGACGAAATATTGGGCTTCTCATAATAAAACATAATAATGAAAAAGGGATTTTCATTCATATTTAGTAAAATGATAAGGATCATCAATTCAATGATTTGACATCCCAAGACTCTCGAAATATTTAGAATGTTCATCATCGCTATGAAGATGTTTAAAAGTTTGAGAACCGTGAAATGATTGAGTGAAGGAAACTTGATAAACTGCTCAAGCGAAAAGTTTTTAAAAATATTTTATCTTACTTCAACTGTGATGATGAAAAAATATTTCTCACACCCCAATTTTATGTTTCTTACACTTCGTATTGTTACAGAGCCTCGATTTAATTTCTTTGTTTGTTTTTCTGATCTAAAATCAATAGAGAGACGATCAAATTAAATCAATTTTCTGTAGAAGTTTTGATACTCTCGTCTTAATTGCTTCAATGTTCATTCGAACACTATTAATAGAAGGATTAGTTCAAAACAATTTAGGAAGAAAATGGGGGACATAATCAGCTTATGATTTCTTTTCCCTCATTTCATTTGTTGCCTTCATTAAGGAAGGTCGAATAAATAACTAAATCGAAATGTAAATAATCCCAAACGCAGCAGAATAATCTCAATCGACATGTTCAAGCTGTGACGAGAAACTTTTATTTCGTTTTTTCATTCGGAATTCTATTTATGCAATAAAATTTCTCAAACATTCTACAGACATTGATTGCTTACATCATAGAGCATTCAAGTGATATTATTTGCTTCTTTGAAATGATAAGAAGACTTGTTGATTACTCCCTCTTCAATAGATAAGATTACATTACAGCGGAAGTGTAGACGATGCTTGAAATCGATAATCCAAACCAATAAAACTACAACTTTGATGATTTTCAACAAAGGAAATTTCTTCAATCGTTTTATTTAACTCACAATGATTAACTTTTTAAATTTTCAAGTTACAGAGATTTTCTTGCTATCAAACTCTTCATCTTTTCTTCAAACTTCGATTGCAAAGTCTTTTCGTTGCTATCTGACATTGGAAAGTTTCTTGACATTCTTGCTTTAGCTTCTCCCATTTTAACTTCAAATCTTTTCTTTAAATCGGCTTCCCTCTCACTATCAGTTTGAGTCTGAATAGCATTTGCAGCTTTCAAAGCTTCAGGGAGCTTCATTTCCTTCTTTAGCATCTTCTTCAATACTGCGACTTTGTCATAATGTTGTTCCTGTGGATCACTGTCGCCTGGAGCTGCGTGTTGTTGAATCATTTTCTGTACAATTTCATTGAGTTTGTCTTGATTGAATTTTCCTGACAACTTGTTAGTCAAATCAAAAGTTTTGACTTTAACATCCTTATCAATACTTGGAGCTGCATGAATTGTTGCAACAGCAATAAAAGTTAATACGAAAATATTTTTCATCACGCTGACTGTTCACTACCAAAACTTGATTCGAACTGATGGTTGAATCATCATCACAAGTTCATTTATTTAAGTAATCTTATTTAGACTTCTGATTAGATTATTTATTCATATCACAAGTTTAGCAAGTTAACCCTTGTGATAAGAGACTTATAATTAAGCTTTTAACACACTTGTTAACTGAAGTGTAAAGTGAGACATAGAATCCCTTAGAAAACTTCGATAAGTAAACGACACAAACTTCTTATACACAATGCTTAATGCTTTCAAATCCAATCACAAGCTATCACATCGTTGATTTCACTCAAGTTTGAGAAGCTGCTTTTCCAAGATAAGTTTCAGCGATTTTCCGAAGACATCAAGCACACTTTTACCTGATAATAATGACACCGAACGAACCCTTAGCTTAAGGAATGTATCCGTTACATTGATTTTGATTCCCATTATTTTCAATTTTATTTTATTGTGTGTAAAGTGAAGCATAAAATTGGAAAACGTATAAAAAGCGAAAATAAGAGAAACTGTCAAAAGAGTAAGGTAAGAAGAAAATTCCTACATATTTTCTACAACGTTTATTTTCTTTCACTTTAACTTTTCATCTCACCGGTGTTTTCCCAGGCTTCTTTAAGTTTCTGAAGACTTTTTTTCCTTCGTTCCATGTCGATGCTTTGCAAGTTCTTTTGTTGATGGAACGAGGAGGGGAGAAAGATGCAGTATGTTCGTCTGTAAAATTGAAATGATCCGTTGGTGCTTCATAGTTGGAACGTCTACACATTTCTTCCATTGTGATGTGAGATGAAGAAAAGCAAAGCGGTAGTATCACTTACTACTTTCCTATCTTGTAAGTAATAGGAAAAGGTATGAAATTTCATTTTTTTTCTTCCCTTCTTTTCATTTCACTTACACAATACATTTAACAAACTCAAGAAAGAAGCATGAGTAATTTAATTTTCCAGTGACACTGCAAAATGGCACGGAAAGCTATAAAACTCACAAAAAAAGCAGAAACTTTTTACGTTTCTCCCGTACACTTTGAAAATCACCTGATTTATTGCAGTTTTCACTTTACTGGAGATTAAAAGAAAATTTTTTCGCTACATTTTCCTCTCTTAGATTTATTTCATTCAGGAATTCTTTTTCGTTTTAAATTGACAGTTATATCGTGCAATTCATTGTATGTACATATGAAATAGAAATTGGTTTAACTTTTATCCAGAGAATAGAACTAAAATTGATTTTTTGTAAGTAAAAGTTGAATATTTATTGCACAAACAGTGATGGCTGGGAAAATCAATCAATCAAATCGATTATTGATAAAGTAAAAGTTTTATTAACAAAAAGATTCTATTCAACGATCCACAGGTTTCATTATTGTTTATAATTTACATACATAATAAAAATACTGACAAAACATAAATATCTAGGCTAAATAATGCTCCACTAATTTATCGTATTTTTCTTTATGTGATACAGACATGCACTTAACAGTTCGATGTTGTTGATGGAGGTTTTCATCAATGAGTGAATCATTAAATGATCGTTTATTTTATTTACTCAATCATTGTGTCCCTCGATTAACATTTCTCTATTTCAACCTTTTTTTCCACAGCATAACATAAATCAACAATTAATGTGCAGTAATCAATAAGCCATAACGCTATCAGTTTCACAGGAATCTTTAATTATTTATCAATACCCTGACTTTGACTTAGTTTGGAGTTGGTTTAGGCCTTCAAGATTATTATGTAAATGTAAGGGCATTACACAATAATAGATAATCAATATAAGGTTTTGTGTTTTTGATACAAAGAAAATTATGTATACAAAGCTTCGAGTAAGGCTTTCGATTCTTTTTTAAGATTCTGATAAGCTTCAAAACCATTGACAAAAAAACGTTTGTTCAAGAATTTCCCTTTCGGCTTCCCTAAATATTTAACAAACATTGTGATCTTCTTTTATCTTCAATTCATTTCATTTCCTTCTTCCGAGTCAGCATCGCCTCGAAAATGGATTTCAGGAAATCGATACTATTGAGAGCGTTCTTTCTCTTTTGTTTCCACCACTTTTCTATCAAAGAATGTCGTGAAAGCCAAGTCAGCAAAAAAGTAGTTTCACCCCCAAAATAAAAACTTTTCCATTTCTTCTTTCAACAACAATTTTCTTTCTTTTCCTATGCTTTGATTTTCTTATGCTTTTGTGTTCGAAGTTCGCTCCCTTTCATTATAATGTATTTATCATTAACACATCATCCTAATCGCTTTGAATGCTGTTGATGGCCATCATTTTGGAATCGTATGTATATGTACAGCACTTATGAGGATGAAATTTCCTTGGGATGTTCCTAAGCTTGTATTATATTTTATTTATTCAGAAAACTAAGGAAAATTTCTCTTTATCAACTTCATAAAACTTTTTTTCATACAATGTTTTTATCATAATTCAAAAGGAAACAATCTATATGTGACTTTTAATAGTCGTTTGTGGATTTCCACATTTTAATGGTTACTGTAATAGCACTTTAGTTAGAGACAAATCATTCGTTATGAAAAATAGTTTTACCGTCTGATGTTACACGCTTATAAAATATTTTTATAATAGAAAGAATCATTAAAAGGTTGTTGCCTTCCATTAAACTACTAATTACCTAGTTTTGAATGCGTTGCAGGTCTTGGCTTTCTTCTATTGTTATTTTTCTATTGTATTTAAGTATTTTCTTGTTTGAAAAACAGAAGAAAGCTAATACTAAAGTATTGTTAACAAATAAAAGGTTTAAGTGTACATACGAAATGATATAACTTCGTTTTATGCCAGATTGACCTCGGTTGCCTTTCTCGATTCGATCCAGTCATTAGGAACAAATTAAATTAACGTCGAACGATAAGTTACAGCTTCCATTCCCTTTTATATGCATCGAACGTTTTGCAATAAAAAAGTCAATGTCCGGTTTCGATGCCGCTTCGAAATTCAAGCTGAATTTGAAGGCGGAGTGGAACGCAGGAAAATTCTTCATTCTCTCTCTCACTCTCCTATTTTTGCCCTTCCATCTGCTTGGTATGTTAATAAAACATTTTCTCAATCTTGTAATCATCCAAATAATATTAAAGTATGATTTGAATACTAATGATTGCTTTCTGTTTCTTCTTGTTGTTTGTCCTTAGGAAATTGCCCACCCTATCGTAAAACTGTCCTTATGTTGTTCAGTTTTCAACTTGCATCTTTAAGATGGAACAAACCAACTCGTACCAATTTAAATATTCATGTTTTCTTTTTCATTTTCCGTCATGCTCAATTTAAATTGCTGTACTTTAAATGAAAAATTGTTCTCTTACTTTGAGGACTACGATGTTGTTCGTATGAGGGTGACTTTTCCACTCTTATGGCAAATTAATGGCCCTATCATCAATATTCAATTTTATTCATTCAAAGAAAATTGTGTGCAAATTAAAATGTGAATTAATTGTTCCATTATGCAGAAGAATTTTTTTAATTAAACGCAGGAAAGTTGAAAAGACGTGCATGATGCAAGATAAAAATTGGCCCTCTTAGAGATTTTCTGATGTGGAATGAATGAGATTAGCAATGAGTTAGGGAAGATAAATTTAAAAGTATTTCAACTTTCCACTTCAATAAAATATTCCATGACGACGTTTGAATATGTTTATTGACAATTTCTGAATTTTCATTTGATAAAATGCTGTTGAAATAGAAATTAATTCAATCTGCTTTTATTTTTGGATAGTTTGTTTTTGTATGAAAGATTTGAGATTACAACTCGGACCTATTCAAACGATGAAGTTGTTGTTTATAGATTCAAGAGACGATTGCACAGATTAGAATATGAAAACATGCCAAATGTCCCAATGATGCATGTTAATGTTCTAAGTTAAGACCCCAAAATTTATCAATTTACTTTAAAACATTTGATACGAGTAGTTGAATGGTTGTTTCCTTCCATGCAATAGATCCTAATTGCCAGTTGTATTTGAATTTCAAATTTATTCATGTTGATAGACAACCAACATTTTGCAATTCAAAAAATTGCTTTAATGCATAAAAAAAGCAAATAAACCTCGATTTCATTCATGAAATAACTTGAAACATAAAAAAATTGTTCATTTAAATGAAAAATCAAAAGAAACTTTATTATCTGAGCATAAACAAACAAAGAGAGATTTTATGCTGCTACACCTACTTTTATGTTTGGAAACCCAAACTGCAAAATATTAACTTATGATTTCGTATAAAAAATCTGACGATGATAAAACTTTGACTTTGGTTCTTATTTTAATTCGATTGAATTTTTCAAGCAGATAAATACATAAATATGTAAAAACCACGCCTTCAAACATAAATATGTACATTTAAACATTAAATAAATATCTTTTCTCTCAGCTCCTTAGTTTTACTTATGAAAACAAGGAATTAAAATTAATTGCATTAAATTTTTCTTTACTTTCTTTCCTGTACTTTTTTATATATTTTTCGATGCAGAGAACATTAATAACATCAAGGAAACACGCATGGGATTGCAACCCTCGAAACGAAACTCATAACTGTAATTTTTCATAACAGCGCCCATTGATTATTCTTGGAATACAATAATTTTGTCCCTTTTAGTAAGATCTAAGATTAGCCTACAAAGCAGAAATATTGTGTGCCACCACCCGTTGCTTCGGGAAAGCATTTCATTTTCACGCAAGACCTTGCTTTCTAAGGTAGAAGAAAAAGTGGCAAAAAAAGAACGAAAACTGAGAAAAACATTTTGATATATCGTGTTTACTGCAATTAATTCTCATAAGGGTTATAACATGATGCGGTCGCTCAAACCACAAACGTCACCAAAAGACTTCTTTTTTGTTTTGTTGTTTTCTTTAATAGAGGCGGAAAATATTTTGTTTAAATAAATGCTTACGATTTGAACACGAGTTAAACCAAATTGTAAACTAAGCCTTAAATATTTCTTACTTAAGATGAAAGTAGAAATTATTGGACTGAGATTAGTGTGTGCCCAGGGAATACGTAAATATATCAAAATATGAAAAATATCTGAACTAGATAATAAGCATAAGTTATGAGATCACAAGAGATAAACAATTTTTTATAGAATTTTGTGGTTTTCTTAATTCAGCAGCACAAGAATTTAATTCATTTCATTGATGAGCAATGTCAAAATATTTCATGATTTTTTGTAAAAGTGGAAATGATTAATAGCGTATCAGATTGTCATTTAAATGAATGTTGTCATCAAGAATCAATATCAGAATGTCCATTACCATCATTTGTCAGATTTTCATTTTCCTGAACTTGCTTTTCTATTTTGACTTGGAAAATGGAATATCTATCTAAGGAAGGAGAATTCCAATAGAAAAGACAAATAGTCGTAGCATTAATATTGAAAAAAAGAGAGAAAATTTATTCATTCTTAGTTTTATGAATATCATCTTGGAAGTTTTTCCTTTTGTTGCCTCATACTTGATCATCACGATTCATTGCTGTCGGGGGTTGTAATGTTTGCTTTGCACATTTTAACCCTCGAAGATAAATTCTTTTAATGTGACATCAAACATAGCTTAATTTTTCTCTTATTCTGAGAGACTAAAAGGGAATGGCAAAAAAAATATAACAATTAAAGCAAACAAAACCTCAGCAAACATATAAATAGATTTATGGCACATCCCTCCGTTCGTTTTCAAGGCTTTTCAAATGTGTTCTCGCATTAAATATCTTTTCTCTATATCTTGTGACAGTGATTTGATACAGAAAATTTAACAAATGAAACTAATACGACTAATAGCTGAACGATAACAAATCAAGGCAAATGATTTGCCCTGAAATAAAATAAAAAACCTTTTTCGCTATTCATCATGGCTTCGAGTTTTTCTTTTGTCATTTCTAAAAAAAACATCAACAGATAACATCGCTTGAGAGTTCTTCACCCCAATCGCAATCTGTTCTTCAAGTGATTGTTCACACTTCGCTTGCAAATTGATATAAAAAACTTATTTATTTAACACTTCAATTCACCCCACATTTGATGACGCAATTTTCCTTCTTTGATCTTCTTTTTATGATTTGTGTTCATCATTATTGGATCATCCGTTTTCGCTGTTCATTGGAATGTGAAAAAATGTATGAAAAATGATAGCATTTAATAAATAAATTAAAATATATTCATCTTTATGCTGTTATGCTTGTATGGAGATGTAACATCAAATTAATAAAAAAACATTTTTAAATGTCATCGGTTATTCAAAAATCAAATCAAGACAAGATTGAAAATTATGAACATGTAAAATTTAATTTGTTCCCATGTTATGAATTCATTTTTCATGTTTCTTTTTATTTGAAAAATGTAATTGAAGTCACATAAATTATTACATTTTCTTCGAGTTATTTCATCATTTCGAGTTCTTAACTCATGCTCGACTGTAAAAATGATTGAAATTGTTTTATTATTAATAAAAAAGAAGATAAATAAATACAAATTATCATTCTACGTTGACATTGTTTCGTTTCTTTCATAAAATTCTCGTTCATATTAAACTAATTTGGAAAAGTAAATTGACTTTGGAATCACAGATGAAACTTACAATGTTCCTCATAACTTTTTCATTACACTAACTACATGAAAACAAACATAATTATAATTGAAAACGAGATTCAAAATGAGATATAAACAAACCTGAACTATGTCGTTGGCTTACCATAGCCAAGCATAATTATTTCAAACTCCGCTTCTCTCTAAAATTACAATTGCAACAATAACACGACAATGTCCTATTATCTCTACTTACAACAATTATTTCGTTAAATTAAACTGACTAGGAACATCGATCGTGTACATAAATAATATCACATTTTATAAGTCTTCACATGTCATACAAATATTTTTTTACAAGTCTAAATTGTAATGGAAACAATTTCACTCACATAGAAACATGACATTAATAACAGAGCTAAAATATAATTTATTTGTTTTGATAAAATGGAAATGGCCAGAATGTTTTTTGCTGCTGCTCTTTGTTTCAATCATTAAAATTTTTTGCGTTGCAATCTTGTGAAACGATCGAATGTTTCTAAAATGTTATATAAAGTCATAATACGCAACATAGGCGATATTTAAATTTGAAATACTTTGACATGTCACTTGTTTTATTTTTTCACATAAATTGCTTCTCATATTTCTCCATTTATTTTCACTACGAGCCCAGGAAGCAAATAAACATCACGATTCCAGATTTTACGCATATTCATAAATATCAATATTCGCTTTACGACTCGTAAAATATTATGATAATAAAATTTTTCACGCGGTGGAAATAAAAAGAAAAACCTTAAGCCATTTCTCCATATTAGGTTTATCCAAGGCTGCGTAGCTTAATATAAATTTGAATTAAATTATAGAAAGCAGAGAACTTGTTACTCGTTAAGGCTCGTTGACGACACTTTGTCTCTGCCTGGTTTTTATTTTTATTTCTGTCCATTCAACCAGAAATGTGAACTCAAATTAAAAACTCTTTCAGATAACGAAAGAAAACAAAAAGTCTCTAATTCAACGCCATTTTCATGTATTGTTGAACGTTTTCTCGCCGTCATGGTGCAAAAGTAAAAAGGATAGGATAACATTTTATTTCTTTGGATTGTTACATTGTGGAAAGGAGCAGAAGCAGCAATAAAATCATCTTTATTGCCAAGTTTACAGCTGACAAAATATAAAAAAATTCTATCTCTCGTTTCTATATTTTTTATTATGCCACTTTTAATGCTGTTTAAGCAGTGGCAGTAAAGGTTTTCACAGTATTTCGGCGAATAAATTTTCAATGACTTTATTGTTACTCCATAAGTTTTTTTTCTTCCTCTCAAAGTTTCTTTTTCGGTAACAGTTGTATTCGAATGTGTATATAACTTATATAGAAGCCCAAATAGAAAGTGATAGTTGAAAATGTCGTTTACGTGATATGAATTGGCCTCATAATGTCCTTATTGTGGATACCAGAACCATTTCCGGAAATGCGAAATTGGGTGAAACATGTGGACGATATATCAAAGCGAAAATTAAATGAAAATGAAAATAAACTTCAAAGTTATAATATCGAAAGATTTGTTGTTCATTTCGCGAAACGTAATTTGCAAAGATCAAGGTTGAAATGGTTAAGTCATTGTGTAAGAATATCTTCAATACTTCAAAGTCGATATTCTTAAGAGGTTATTACATATCATCAAGGTCGCTGTTCATGTGGCAAATATTAGATTTAAAGACGTTTCTATGAAACTCACATCCTTTAACTTTTATTGAAAGTCACTCTTTTGTAATATGTGTAGCTAAAGTTCTGATTATTCATTATTTTCTTATTCTCCCATCTCAAATAATTCAAATGCTTCCAAACCTAAGTTAACAGTATGGCACTAGTTGAAATGTTTCTGTTTATATTCCTTTGTTGCCCCTACAGAGGTCTTCAAATGTCTTCTAACTCGATCAGGCAGATTACTATTTGTGAAACAAGAAAAAAATCTGTTAAAATCTCAACTTGATTTGCTTTGTATCTCCGTTGAACTTACTTAACTATGAAATGAGCATAATCGGGAGTTATAAAAATATTTCTCTTGTTAATTAAGATTCCTTCAACAGATTTTTCTGCGACGTATTCAGGTGTCAATCGAGGTATAATGTCTCCTATTTCGTCCATTGTATTTTGAATTTCTTTTCTTGTATTGATAAAGAAAGGAAAAATTGTTGACAATTTGATAAATTTATCATAATCATCAATACAAAGATCATCATATAAAGTTTCCATGAAACCATCAACTCCAAATTTTGTTGCCGCGTATACAGTTGATAAGGGCAAAGTCAATCTCGCAGTCATTGATGATACAGCGACGATCCTTCCACTTTTTCTTGTAATCATTCCATACAATGAAATGTGCAAACAAGTTAACATCGACACATTTCCTGATGTTTTCTACTGTAGAATTAAGAAATGGAGCCATAAATAAGACGCCAGCATTATTCACAAGAATATCAACTTCTCCCATTTCAGCTTCTACTTTAACTTTCATTTCAGTGATTGCATCATTATCAGAAATATCGTACATGAAACTTTGGCATTTTACATCATAACGTGACTTAATTTCTTTTACAGTATTTTCAGAGTTTAATATGTCTACAATTGCAATATTGCAACCTTCTTGAGCAAATTTCATCGCTAAACATCGACCGAGTCCATAACCACCACCGGTGACCAAGCAAAGCTTGCCTTTAATATCTTCAGGCTTTTGAGGTCTAAATAAATTCACAATGATCTTAATTATCTCAAATATAAAGATAATCACTGCTTCAAGATAAATAAAGAACAATTTCTTTGCATTTTTAAACCGATTTTTTGGAATAAATTCTTCAGCTGTTTCATATTTTTGAGACTTCAGTGATGAAACTTCAAACATTTTTAATAAAACTCAGAAGCTTTTGATTAGATTGAAAGGAGATGTTCAACTGAATTATGAAGAGCAGGCAAATGACTTAAGAAAACATAGCATGAAGAATATTACAGTGAATGCTGGAGAATAAAATAGAAAGAATTTACCATGGATAGAGATTTGGGAAGAAGAGAAGCAACTTTCAAGAAGAATAAAAAAAAATTATTTCTCTTCACATGTACGTAAAAGTGTGAATTCTGTGCATGTATATGGACAAACGTAAACTTCACTCGTCATTGGTAATTGTTATAAAAGTTGAAGTTATGACGTAATCATCAATCTTTGGACTGATGTTATATGGCTCGATGTGAATGTATGGATTTCAAATTGTTACCAAATTTAAGTCATCTACCAATGCGATCTATTTAGTGTTGGCAAAGAATATTGAGTTTCTTCCTTTCCATTGAAACACAAAGTTGATAATCAGCAGCATGGAAACAAGTAAGCCACATAAAATCTTAGATTAACTCAGAATTTTGAATCATCTTTACTAAATAATTTTATATTTATCCATGCTTAGTTATTTGAATGAAATTCCTAGAACTTATTCTGATTATCTGTTATGAGAGAACTCAAGAAGGAAGCTCGATATTATTGACTGCTTAAGAAGATATTTTTAATCATACAAATGTTTTAAAGGTTTCTTCGAAACGAACTTTTGGTTTTGAATTTAAATAAAACACGATGGAAAAAGTTTCTTTTATTGCTACATATTATGTTGAACTATTTTTATGTATGCATTGAAGATCTCAAGAAATTGAAAACAGAAATCTAAGCATAAATAATTTAAAGAACCTTTAAGCTGATGTAAAAATTATTATCCCTGCTTTTCCTGAAAAGTTCTGCTAAGAAATTTTTCTAACTTATCTTTACGACGACATAAATAGAAAATAAAAATAATTAGTTCGAGATCATTAATCTTGAAATAATCCAAAGTTTTAACTTCCCAAATGTCAACTCAAATAGCATAGCAAAAGCAATTATTTCTGGACATGTATGAACAATAATAAAAATATCACTTTATGTGAAACAACCAAAAGGTATGGCAGGAATTTTCTCGTCAACATTTTCAAAACATAAAATTAAATGAAATTGAAGATTCGTGAAAATTGACATTCAGTGTGACCGCTTCATGGCAACGCCGGAAAGCCTAATTTCATTATTTCATGACAACAACGAATTAATAATAGACCGAAATTTTATTTGCGACACACGTGGTGAAAAAATAATCCTGAATTATGTGGAAACGAAGAAAAAACAAAGCACGACTTTTGTTTATGGAGCTGATAAATGAGCTGCCACTTTTGATTCAACGTTGAATTTCACTTTTCTTACTACATATTTAGATACTCACTTCGAAAGCATTTTCAGTTTTACTTCAAGAAACGAGTTTTATAATAAAAATATATGTTTAAGCGTTACGTATCTGAGAGATATCCTGTTGATTTATTTATGGTGTTTTTACTGTCTATTAAAAGACAGTGAAAAAATGCTGGTTAAGTGAAATTTCGTGCAACTGCTTGAAAGACTAAGACAGTTACTTAATCGTCAAACGACACAAAATATTAAGAGTTGTCCAAGATAAAGAAAAGGGAAAGAATTTAATTTAAGTCTTACAAGCGAGGTACTTTAGATTAAGTGCTTTGTTGAGATAGTCAAGTAGAGTAAACTTAATTGCTCATAATATCAAGTAAAAGGACGTATGAAGAATATCAAATTGTGTTTAGCGAGTGAACACATACAAAAGCAATAAGAGACGAGATTAATTTGAAGATAGCTTAACTCAACTTTTGTGTTTCATGATAAATTTAATAATATATTGAGTGATGATTTAGAAAGTGTTTGAAATTTGTTCTCTTAGATATGTGGAATTAGATAAAACTTTTACATTATTAAATTATTTACTTCCACGAATTTGTCATTGTGAATGTGCCTAAGACGATTCATCACAAGCTGATGTAAACCATCAATAAAAACCAACATAAACCTAATCAAAATGTTATTGCTTCAAAACAAAATTCAACTGCCTAGGAAGGAGTAGAATGTGACTGACTTTAGCTTTTTGAGGAAGGGGAAAGTCAAATAATAAGAATAATAACCATAATATTATTACAAATTTTACCGACATCTCTCGTCGTTATTGTATTCCATTCAAATTTGATAAAAGGTCTAAGACGTTGTCAAGAAAAACATTATTAGATTACAATACATTCTCAAGTATGGCAAACAACCATGAAGATGAAAGCGAAATGTCGAGTGATATTGTCGATATTTGAGAAAGGCATCGGTGAAAAACGAAACAACATCAATTCAATATGTTTCAATGTGAATCTTTTTCTTGTCTTAATCGTGATCGGGGGCTTCCCAAACGAGACCCGAAATGTTTATTTTCAAACATTCAAAATTAAATATTGATTTTATTTCTTTTTTACACATTTTTTCTTTCACCCTCGATAAGACACCAGACTCTTCAATTTTTATCTCCTTTTTCTCGCTTCATTGTTATGTTTCCTGCTGCTTTTCACTGTTTCCACCGAAAGCCGCAAACAATAATCGAAGAATTCATCTTCTTCCTCTTTCACTTGTGTTTTTCATGCGAAAAGCCCTTGAAATATCCCTAAAGTATCTTTTTGTTTTAAGTTTACGGCATTTTATCCCTTGCTTCCATCCTCGACAGCATCGCACCTTCAAAATTGCAAGGCATTTTCATCTTCTTTAGTGTTTAGGTCTTCACTCAACTCGTTGGCAAGATGAGAAAGCCAAAAAATATTAAAGATTCCATTAGGGAGAAAATCAATAATTCGAGTAAATGTTTCTATATTTTGAATCGACAATTCACATTCTTTCCTTTTGGGTGAAAGTACAATTCGATGTTCGCAGAAAAAGAGTGCTCGACCCAAACTCGATGCCAGTTCCAAGCCATTAAACTTTATTTCCAATTGATACGGAATCGAAAAGAATATTTGTCTATAAATTTTCAGCTTTCTCTCTGCTGCCTTATTGTGCTGTCTCCAGAAAAAGGAATAAAAAAGGACAGCATTGCGTCTATCGACTAATCAAATCGATTCATTTTCTATGTTTTTAATTTCATTGAAATTCCGTTTTTACGCCTTTTTCACTCCGAGATATTTTAAGACATTTTTTGATGTTCACAGCGTGAATAAAATGATGAGGGAAAAAATCAATAAAAATTTTGAATTTTCTTGCGAAGGCTTTCTCGAAAGCTTTCGACAGAAGATGAGCCGGGAAAAGGATCATTCATGTCGTTTCTCATTTAAAAACCCTTTTTTTTAGAAAGTTGTTGGATCGGATGAAATAAGAAATTATTATTTTGAGGTAATTAAAAATATTGTTTGAATTTCATTAAAAATTATCTGTTTGTAGATAACAAATTTTTGTTTCTTCATCTTTCCACCAAGAACGAATTTTCCCCTTGTTTGAGTTTTCCTTTAAGTTTCTTTAAACTCTTCGTGGCAGTTTTTGATTAATTAATCTATAAGATTTTCGACTCACGATGTGGGTGGAAGCGGGAAGAAGGATGGAATTTTGTTTGTTTCTCATCATCGATGCTCTTTATAAAAACCAGAAGAAAAAAAATGAAATGATGAAAAAAAAATTATTAATAAATGTTCAGTAGAATGAGACAATTTCTAATTTTTATTCATTTTCCATCCCTGAAGACTGATGAATTAATTAATGGAAATTGTGAAATGATATTTTTGCGGTAATTGAAGACAAGAAATGGAACATGAGAATAAAATATGTGATGAAGAGAAAGCAAGCGCAAATTCCAAATATCAAAACTCAAAGCAAATTATGTAAAATTAAATATTTATTTCTATCAGTAAATATGAAATTCTTTAAGCAAATTGGAAGTTATTTTTATGAATCTGATGAACTAAATTAAAAAAAAGTAATCAAATTAATTCTTTAAATTTAAGGTACAGGAAAACAAACCAATTTTTCCACTTTAAAATTTAAATCCCATCCAGTCAAACTTCTTCTCAACTTAACAACGAAAACACGTAATCTGTTTCCATTGTGCATAAATCTTACTAGCAAATGTCTTCCAGGAATCAACTTCTTTAGAATTGTTTGTAACTTCAGCAAATGTGCGAACAAATTTCACTCCAAATTTTAAAGTGTCTTCGAAGAAAAAAACTTTTAGGATAATTTAAAATCCACCCACCCTTCGTCAAACATCCATAAAGCCTCATGTTGGCATCAGCTAATAGACTTTTGCCATAACCATTTAAAGTATTCATTCGAATTGAAAGGGATTATGTTACTTAAACAGCCATTTTAAAATCGTCTAAGCAATTGCGAGGTACATATACTTACACTACTTAGACATTAACTGAAATTGCCTCATAAATCTCTCTCTTAATATTTTTAATGCATTTTTCGTAGATTGAGTTCAGGAAAGAAATTTTCATCGGAAAAAAATGTTTGTTAAACTCATATTTATCGACATCGACGATGTATCAATAAAGAATAACCCTTTCATGATCTGCGCCGAAAGGATTTTCAATATTTGCTCAAATCCATCTAATTTCGTGTGCCCCTTCAGCAGAACGAAAACATCGTCAGATATTCCTTCGGAATTGAACCAATCTGAAACGTATGAGGAAGCTTATGTTGCTCAAAATGTAAACATAATGTTTCACTTTTCTTGAATTAAACCGATGAAAAACATTTTTCCATAAGTCGCAATGAAAGATTTTTTTTTTCCTAAACTCATAACAAACTTTTCCGCTTTCTTTTAAACTCTTTTTACTGAATAAGAAATTGTGAAAGGAAACTTTTTGCATTCTGCCACGAATTTGCTTTCAAAAGCATCGAAGCGTTGAGTGTATGAAAATCTCCCAATGCAGACCTCGAAAACCAAAGCATTAGAAAAAAAAGAAAATACATAAAATTTTAATTTATGACCGGAATGAAAATGGAAATAATTTCGAAACAAAAAATAAAAGGAAAATTCATCTATCCAAATGGTAATGTTACAGTTCTCTGTTTGCACTTTTTCTTTCCTTCTTTATCCCACACAATGTTTTTAAGGGTCTGCCCATAGAATTTCTGTTATTTACACATGATTTTCCGTCAGATAGAATTTGAATAACAAAACTTCCGGTTTGACGCTTTTGTTTGCTTTTTTTATTGCGATTTCATTTCTTTTACCCGCAGCACTGAATTCTAATAAATTTTCTCTCTTGTGACTTTGTGAGTCAACTTTTGTCACTCTCATTCCAAACAACTGTCGCTTCTTTATAATCTTCAGCATTACAAAACTGTTCATTCAACTCACTCTTGACTTCCGATTATTCTTTTAACCCTCATTGGGTAATGTGCTGGTAAAGCGCGAGGGCATAAAGCCAAACAAAAGTTTAAAATAATTTTTGGATGTTAATTCTTCCTAAGCAAATGAGCGAGGATTTATTTTACCCTCTGGTGGTGTCTCTGGATGTTGGATATGCACTTCAGTGACTAACAAATACGTAAACGATTACCAAAATTCTGAATAAAAGGAGCGCACCCGAATGAACACTCCCGAAAAATTCCATATGAAAATACTAGAAAATTGTTATTTTATGCAAAATACTTTGCCTTTGGTGATGCATATTTCCTGTTTAAAATATTACGCCGAAGAGATTTTGTGCTAACCATCGTATAAAATGTTTCAATCGAACTTAGGTGAATACAACTGAGAACAACATTCGATTTTAGATTTTATTATGTTGGTATTACAAATCGATTTGCTTTCAATGCAACAACATCACAGTTACTTGAATATCAACAGGGTTGTTGCTTAGCAAATTGATATAAGTTGTCAATTAAGTAAGTCACATCAGTTTCATAACTAATGATTGTCAAGTCCTTTTATTTAGCGAACCATTAAACTTTTCACTAAATGACGGCTCCAAATTGACATCTGACAACCCCAAAAGCTGACAATATTTGAATGTGAAATTTTCTAAAGTAAACTTCACTGCTTGTTTAAATCCGTTTTGATTTTGGATTATGAAAAGACAGTATTTGTATTCCAATGTAACTATTATGTCGTTCGTGGAGGCTGCCCGAGATTAAGCATCAAAGCTTAAGTTGTATTTGATGAAAAGCACAAAACTTTTGTTATTGTTTGAACTTAGATGTAAAACTTTTCCATTACCTTAATATGAACGTTTCGTTTTGAATGAATGATGTTGATGGATTAATGTTTGCACTTCATGAATAACTTTTGGAATGATTGCTTGAAAATGGGAGGAAAGATGCTAGAAGCATATTTGATGTTTTGAAAATAAAAACTCGTTTGAATCTATGGTGAATCCTATCAAAAGATCCTTTACTCATTTCTTTCAATCTTTTTTTTCTGTTTAGATCTTTTCATGGCAAATACGAATTCAATTCAAAATGTTCCCAATTTGGCTTGTGCATTGCTTTTGACATGACGACTGGAGAAGAGGTGAAATTGAGTTGGAAGAAAACGTGGAAGCAGGTTTTAGATTGGGACTTGAAAATTAAAGTTCAGCCATGCTGAAATTTAAAACAACTAAGGAAGAGAAGGGAAAAAAGTTTTCTGACCGAATTTTTATTTGCATCATGCAATGATTAAAGGATGCCATTGTCTCCATTCATTGCAGAGAATTTTTTTACAAAAGCTGATTCATTGAGCTTCATTATTGATTTCGGGAAAGGTTATACAATTTGGCAGTAAACTTTTTGTTTTAAATTTGTCATCCCTACAATGCGATATGTTACATATTTGAAAGCGGTTTCAGAACGTTCAAAAAGTTCTCATTCAATTGAGAATGTTCTGTTTCATTATGTTTAAATTGGTAAATTTGAAACTCTCTACATATGACAACCATCAACTACTAAATTCATAAACAAAGTTCAGAATTCGTCAAATGGTGTGAATTTCTCATTTCTCTTCATAGCAACCAGTGAAGCTGATACTAATTAAAATATAATCAACTAAATACTGAATGCATGACGGATGAAAGTTCATTAATGGAATAATAACAAACCAAACACTGAAGCACTTCATTAGTCATCAATAATCTTCATCCTTTCCTCCCTTCTAATAATAATCACTTCTAACGTATCCGGATTTCCATTGAAAATAAACTCATAATCACTTTGCAATTTTCCTGTACACATAAACATAAAATTTACGAGCCTGACAGACGATAGATTGATTATTAATTTTACAACTTTCAAATACCGCCAAGAGATGTGGGTGAATGAATAGCAGCAGTGAAAACATAAATTTAATTTGCTACGAATAAATATTCACCCTTTCATGCTCAACATAACATTTATCCCTGGAATGATGAATTTGCAATCAGAATCATTAATATCAAGTACGTTATTGCTTCATAAATTTCAGACAAAATATAAACATAAATATTTGTTTGACATCGAATCGCTCCCAGGCATATTATCCAAGAGGGTTGTAACTTGTTAGAAAAAGAAACAACAAACAATATCAGTGCAAATATTCCAAAAAGAAGAAAAAAAGGAAATAAAATAAGGAATATCGTTGAAAGACGTACAAAGCTGTACATCTTCCAACTTGAACTCGTATAAATCATCTTTTGTTCAAAAAGAACGCATACGTTCGTGACTTTCTGTTACCATCATCCAACAAAAATTTGAACCAGTAAAATTTATACAACTGACAGCTTTCAGCCTAGTCATGCTTGTCAAGAAATTTATATTTCACTTTTTAGCAACATCATCAGATGCAAACTTTTAGCAATGATAACAATTTTATGTACTTACTCATGTGCGTTTATGCAAATTAAGGGTTGAAATTTTTGAAAAAGACGAGCATCCTGGGAGTTTAGTTATCAGGATAGAAAAAATAATATTCAGATTAAATAATAACAAGATGTGGGTGTATATACTTAATGAAGATATCAAGATAGACGAAAATATTATAGGATAATTTGATGCGAGTTACCTTGCCAACCGGAAAACCTGTTGTTGTTTTTACCCTTCATTATTTTATATTTCTCGCATTTTTTTTTTGAGAAGAGCAGAAATTATTAAAATGATGATAAAATGAAATTGTTTACATTCATGAAAGGTATGGACAGAAACTGACAGACGGAAAGCTTCTCAAGTTTCCTAATTTGATATTTACATTGGAAGAAATTTAGTTACACACTAACCATGAAACTTCTTAAAAGATCCAATTTAAATTTAGTAAATAATCAATCAAGAATTGCTCATTTTGTTAGATAAAATAATCACAAAACTTTCGAGCTACATTAAACGGAAAACCAATCCTAAATAACCATTACAAATTTTAACATTTCTAATCCCATTAGATGCTTAGAATTAAAATTCCCTTAAGTAGTCCATTATTTTCCATTTTTAAACTTCGCAGTGTTTCAAGCAAGAGATTTATTCGCCTTTTTTCTCATTTCCATTTTTCGAAAGAATTTTCTCCAATTTCGACCCATGTTAATTTGATTAGTCTAACTGAGTGGGTTAGAAGGCGAATAAATGTTAGAGAAATGAGAAATAAACACACAAAAAAGCGTTCATTGGATTTACTTTAGAATCTCCGCAAAGATTTATTGTGTTGACCACTTCATCGCATCCTAAAGATGAGAATCTCTGTTCATTCTACCCCCCGAAATGAATTATACTCGCTCCGGAATGAATTGATAAGTGCGTAAATTTACTTTGTTAAAATTATCCCCTCATCATCATTATACATTCAATTGGGTTAATTTATTGCGCCATGCTCTGGAGAAGCTTATTATTCAATTCCTTTTAAATCGATTTTCTCATCTTTTCTTTTCTGTTTTCTGGTCTCGTTGTTTGGCGAGAAAAGATTCATTTTCCCCAATTTTCTTTTAGATTTCTTTGGCTTTCTTGGCTTTCTTCTTCAGTAAGATCCTTAAAAATTTCTTTGCTACAATAAACCGTCTGCCTTTTGTTGCGATTTGCCTTCTGATGTGGTAGCTTTATAATAAAAACTGACTAAACAATAATTTGAGAGCATGAAATAAATCTTCGTTGTCATCTTTCCCTTGCCAAACCAGCAACAGAAGCATCTTAATGCTAATGCTATTCACCATGATCATTGTGTAATTATTTCTCTTCTTCAAATGATTTGCTTGGAATTCAATGAGAAGAAAATTTCTTGGAAGGCGTAAAATGAATGCTTTAACATGAAAAGAAAAAGATAAATTTGATTTGTTATTGGAAAAAGGAGAAAGGGAAAAATTATCTTTCAACCATGCTGAAAATGTTTTAACGAAGAGAAAAAGAGAAAAATTAAATAATTGAAGAATGTAGCGAAATGGAAGAAAATCTTTTTTCTTCAGCATTATTTTTGTTTGAAACCTTTTCAAACTACTGTGGAGAAAACAAATTATCAAGACAATGGAAAATATTGCTTAATTAAAAATTCCATCGTATTTTGTGGTTTAAAGTGAGTAATTGAAGTTACTGCAGAGCATTTTGCAAAAGATTAAATGATTTCTTTTTTCCGCAACAACTAAAAGCTGTTATAAAATTAACCAAGTTTATACTGTTGAGAGACAAATGGCTCATTTCAATTAATTATAGTAAGAAAATGCAAACTTTTGAGCTTCACCCGAATGCAGCAGAATGATGGAAAGAGCTTGAGAAACTTCTAAATGAGTTTAAGCTCTTGTTACTCCATTTCTCAGCCTTATAATCTACCCAAGCGCTCGGAGAGATGAAATAAAAAATAATAATCATATATAAAGGAACTCATGTCTCCCAAGCGAGTTATCATGCGGTACTTTGCAAATATCATAGAGATATGATATGGGAAAAAATAATCTGCGAAGATGAAAAACTTTCGCAACGTTACGAAACAATGGCACAAAAAAAATGCAATGAATCATTTCGACGTCGAAAGCAAGAAAAAGCGGGGGTGGTGATATAAGTCGAATGAAGATGATATTCTGCAGAAAATATTAAACTAAATATTAAGCTCATTCATAATGTTTCAGCAACGACTGATCCCAGAGTAATTTGAATAAGTATTTTGATATTTCATCATCATTGCTTCCAGAAGTAGCATGAAATTTGCATACGGAAAATGACACAAAACTTACCCGGAACGGTTACAGTTCCAACACTAAATTCTTAACCAGCATATCTTATTGCCAATGAAAAATGCCTTTCCATCACTCATCTCAAAGTGCTTGTCTATGATGAATCGCGAAGTAAATCTTTCAAGTCTTTCATTACACATCAACCTCAATTTAAGGCGCGCTAAATCAAAATAAGTCACATGAAATAAAATACCGCGATGTTTTTATCTTTTCCAACTTATTCTTCGTGAGTTTCTCTTATCATTCTTTGAGGCTTTGAAACATATAATATATCTGAGTCAGTGTATTAGAGAAAATTGGCATGATAAAGAATGAATGAATGAATGAATAAGATAAGTGTTGGTAAAGAAAAGCTTAGACGAACTCCCCCAACTCCCACACCTCACAACGCACAAAAATATAAAGCTTGAAGGCAAATATTTCATTATTATTTCAGTTGGATTTATCGACAGACGTGAGTTGTTACAGATTTCTTTTTTCCTCTTCACGTAGTTTGCTTTTTCTATTCAGCATGTTGAAAATGTAGGAATTAATAAAAAATATTTCTCACTCTCCGTCTTTGCTTTCTTTCCAACTTACTTACAGGCTAAAAGCCAAGAGAAATGAAATTCCTGACAGTTTTGCTAATTTCTATTACTGCGTTTGTCTGCACAGCAGTGACAGCAAATCCGGTCCAAATCAAGAACAACAACGTTGGCGATATTACGGCTATAAAGATTGATATCAATGGACGCATTACAAGTGTTGTAAATCAGGTTAGTCATTAAAGTTTCCAAGTGTTTATGTTAAACCTTTCCAACATTTTTTTATCGTGCGCCATATTTCACCCTCAACATTAAAAGTCTTTCTTGTTGGATATTAATTGAATCAATTTCTCTTCTTTCTCGCCTTCTTAGGATATAATTAATGTTATCGTTGCCTTATTGGAGGACACTGATCACATTCCACCTACGTTACCAACCCGACCCGAAATTCCACATTTGGACGATTTAATTCGGCACATCTCAAGAAAATAATTGCTTTGGGAATTAATATTCCTTTCAATTGATATTCAAGTGATGGCATGGAGAATAAAATAATTTGAATTTGTGTTTTATCATCGAAGAATTATGTTTTCTTTTGGTTGATATCCGATGGAAAATTATGATTCCATTTGCGATTCGTTCGAAAGAGAAATTGTTAGAAAAGTTCTGTTCTTTGCTTTCCTTTGCATGAAATGGGGAAAAATAATATAAAATAAAAAACGGAAAGAACACTGAAAAGATGAGAAAGAAAACTTTCCAGTTGATTTTAAATGGAATAAATTGAATAAAGTTTCGCTGCTGATAACAGGAACGGAAACTTTTTCCCGTGAGCCCTCTGAAAAATAATGCAGAAGAAAATTATTTTTCTATTCTTTTCTGTGTACTTATTTCTGGGCGATGTAAGAAGCCAAGATGTTAAACAGCTCGCTGAATGCAACTCGACAAAGAACGCAAAATGGAGAAAAATATCCGAGAAATACAAAGTTTCATCATGCAAATTAAGTTAGTACAAAAGCAAAGTTTTTCAAGATTGGGCGAGTTTCGTCGAGTCAAAGAATGTTTCAAAGCGGAAGGAATTAAAAATAAATTTTCTTCTGCTGGGATTTTTCATTGAAACATGGAAATAAAAATATTTCTTTGTGCTGTAATGAAAGCAACGCTTAAACGAAACAATAATTTACTTCATCAACAAATTAACTTGTAGCCTTTGTGACTTTTGTTCAACCGAAGACAAATGCTTAAATTTGATAGAATAATTTCATTGTTTCGTGGGTTGAATGTGCGATTGCTTTACGTAATACATAATCGATTTAAATGTCATTGCATTGATTGACATTTGGGTTCAATGTGTCACCCTTTCAACAATTTTTTTATCCACATTCATATATAAATAGATTCGTGGGTTGAAATGAGTAGGCACGTCGTTCTAAATCAATTTATTTTCATCACCTTTAAAAGGAATGACGTGGCGAACACCTAAACGAAAAGCTCATCTATTATGTCACTTTAACGTCTTCAAGAACACCGGCAAAAGCCTATCGTTGTGCATAATTAACCTTCTTACATTCAATCTCTCGAATTTCTTATTCACCTCGTAAAAAGACTTAAAATAGAATTAAGTCAGATTATACACGAAATGAAAGGATTAAAAAGTGATATTAAATACAAAGTTAAGTAACAAGATAAGAGAAAAAAGTGGTTGCGGTGTCGTTGGAAAACTTTTATTACTCTCATAAATCTCATGTCGTAAAAGATGAGACAAAAACTTATGATTGATACAAATGTCACATAATTTACGAGGCTACTTTTATTGGAATGGGAAATTAATTTCTTAATTATTCCACTCGAATCTCCTTTGGGTCGCTATCTCGATGTTTGTCAATTACTCTTCCGTACTCTCTGCGTTTCTCATGGCCTCTTGAATAGTTTATTTCTCCATCCAAAATAGAGTCTTCTGACTGAAAAAGCCTTGCTATGACATTAATTATCTTTTGCATTGATGTCATTATCAATGTCAAGCTTTAATCCCCTTGGCTTGGCAGTTATATTGTTCATAAGTTTTCTCTCTTCCACTTCTCAGCTTTTCTTCCACATCTTTTTTTTCCCTCCTTTTCTTTCGGTTGTCTTAATGAAGAGCAGGTGATGGTAATGAGAGAAAGATAGCATGAGGAATGACGTGAAAGTGACACTTCCCACAACAAAGCTTAAGGAAATGTTTTGCTTCCGCATGATGTTGTTGATGAATAAAAAAAATTGTTTACGTGCTTGGTGTCTACAGGAAGCTTTTCATTCAACTCGTTTTTAAATTCCTTTTCACGATCCACTAAAATAATCCAGAGTCGTAAAGCAGCAAAGAAGACAAACAGTTTTCTCATTAAAACTTACAATTATCTAAATGGTATAATTAAACTTTTCTCTCTTCCGTGTTGCTGTGTGAAGAAAAACTGTGTGGAACTATGCCATTAAGTTAAAAGCTTTAAAACTTTTGTTCCAGGAATCATTGAAATAAAATTAAAAAATAAAATCAAGGAAGCAAGCTTGAATCCCAAATAAAAGAATCAGAAAGCATGAAAAACAGATAAAGGAAATGTTCATAAATTAAGTTTTTGAAATGACTTCTAACACTTTCCCTCCTTTGTCATCTTTTGATAAAATTCTCAGAAATCTCGAAACATTTTTTACATTCCTAAGACGCAAACGTAATTTATGAACATTCCTTAAATAAAAAATGTTATTCGTTGAATTGTTTCTGATGTTAAACGAAGTGAATAAACATTTAATTAATTTGTCATTGTCACTGACATTATCCCAATAATGTTTAAAAAGAAAATTTAAATCAACCAGTCGATTGCTTTTCATTGTTTGTGACTATTATTGTGATAAACTTGAGATGAACATTAAAATCTACCTTCAATGTGTATAAAAGAAAGCTCATATTACAAACTAGTGAAATGAATGATTGCTTTGAATCAGTAAAAAGATGAAGAATGAGAGTAACATCTAGTAAAGCGTGCAAGGCATTTCTCGTTCAATCACTCTTTCTGATTTGATTTATTCCCATCAAAATTGCCTCGTCATTGGCTTTATTCCTTTACGCTCAACCAAATATCAAATCTCCATCTGATTTTTTTTTTCCATTCGATTAACTCCAATCTCCAACCCGTTTATCACGGAAAAACAAAATGACTCACGTGAAATAAAGTCAGAAGACGAAATAAGAAGAAGAAGAAGTGCGAGTCATATGAGCGGATGATTCAATCTTCCAATGCCTTGTCAGAGTTAATTGAAAATGAGAATTTTTTTACGATAACATTGCAGGATGACTTGATGAAGAAAGAGATAAGAAAATTCGAATATTGAGCTTTTTCGTTCATGTAAAATCCCATTGGTGTTCAGTAATTTTATTTCAATCATGCACAGATGTCATCTATTCAAATGATGAGCAGCATGGTTTCTGTAAAAGGAAGAGGAAAATCTTTCTTGTGTTCATCATCATCATCATCTTCATCATCATCGTCAACTTCATGGTATTCGATTAATTTACGGTCGTTCGAAAGACCGGAGATAATTTTTTAATAAAACTTTCCTTCGAGCATTCTGTTCACTTTACTGTTGCTGATGCAAATGGAGAACTATTTTTGAAAGTTTTAGATTTTCAATGTCTTTGATAGTAGTGTTTGGAATTGTCAATATCGAATATTTAAACTTTTTACAGAATGTCAATGAAATTTTATTATTTTTCATATTCTTCAACTCACATTGCAATTTTAAAACTCAGAAGAAAAAAGTCAATCATTGACGAACACTTCTCACAATTTGGCTACATGGCAAATACATTTTTTATTGAAAACATTGATAGAGAGTCTTTTGAAATGAAACGTTGAAGAAAAGCTTACAGATCAGCTTTATCATGACTGTCATCTTCCACTTGGATAAGAATCGTGATGGTTTTGAATAAAAATCAACCAGAGATGCAAAACGATGAAGAAAATGTCTTGTTGTTATTCATATTTTGCATTATTCATTTTATGAAACTGAACTTATTGAAAAAGAAGAAATAAAATGGAAATGTCGACTACAATTGAGTCACACAGATCAAATTACTTTGGTTGGAAACTAAGTTGTAGTATGAAAACTGAGATTGCAATGCTTCTAATTTTTTAAATCGTTTAAATGTCATCTGGAAGTGTCAGACACTTTGTCATTTACAGTCTGAAATTGTGCAAGATATAATAAACTAGCAGACTTTATAAATATTTTCACGCCCACGCTTTCTTCTTTAATCACCTCAAGCACAGCAGGTGGGAAAAAAATTTCACTCCGCTTCCAATGATTGATGATCATAATTCGCTTTGTTCGTAGCCTTAATTTAATTGTTCATGTTCTCAAAATCGATGGAAGTTCCCAAAGTTTGACACAAAAAATAGCAATTGAAAGGAATGATCGTGAACTGACCTTGTCAATTTTTCACAAAGGACACATATGAACATTAATTACAAGCATTTGTCCAAGGTTAACCGCTGCGACCGCAATTCCTAATGAACATTCCACAATGTGGAAATATTCATCATGCTTACTAACCGATATGAGACCCGAACTTCGTCTTTCCCCTTTTTCTCGTCACACTTTTAGTTAATGGTTGAAACAAATTCTCGAATATTTCTCCATGTGTCTCATAAATTTTGTTCTCGCAGTCATGTACGAGAAGCCTTCGAATACTTTTTTTGTTGTCGCCAAAATCGTGAAGAGAATGACGAAAGGTGGATCATTTGCCTCATGAGAATTTTCCATTACCCACTGGAATAAATCATATTTTATTGTCGAGCGCGAAAAGGTAAAAAAAAAGTTTTTACCTGCCCGTCTCTGTAGTGAGTCACGGTAAGTTATCATCATGTTTTATATTATAGAGCCCAGTTGTGTTCTCAAGAGCTTTGTGATATCTATGAAGTTAAATAAAAGCATTTAACGTTATTTCCCTCTGGGTTGACGCTGATACGTTATCAGAAGTAGGAATGAAAGAAAAGAAAAAAAGAAGCTTCAAGAAGCAGAAACAGTCAAGGCTTGCATGAGGTCAAGTGAGACGCACTTAAGTTTCATAATTGAAATTCAGGAGAACATTTCACTAACATACCATAGCAGAAAAAAAATTAACGAACCCAAAAACCCTAATTCGATAAAGATAACAAAAGAGAAGGAAATCATCGCTGCGGAAAAAGAAAGTTCACGGTGGTCTAATAAATTTAAGCGTCTCGTTTCTGTTTCCACGATATTTTATTTCTTCTTCTGCTAGTCAGTCTCGGAGCAATATTTTTCTTTTAATTAATTTGGGGATAAATCATCAGACGTGAGAAATATATTTATGGTTAGTGGACGAAACTTTCATGTTGCGTAGGTGTGCGGTGAAAAAATAAAAAGAAAGGAGCTAAAGAAGCCGTAAAAGATGAAAGTTTTGTCAGTAAAAGCTTTGACTTTCCTCATAACAATAATTATGTCGCTGTATGGTGAAATAATCTGGAAAAATGCCTTCAGGCGAACAAATGTATTGGCCAAAGTCGATAAAGTCATTAAAGAAACTTTTGATCATAAATTTCACGCTCAAGTAATAAAAACTCGATTTAATGAAGTTTTTGTTCCATTCGCTTTTGTTTGTTTGGGTTTTAATTACAATTTTTTTTCTCTTTCATTTTTTTATTTCCTACATGGACGATTTTTTTGCACTTTATTCAGCTATGTGTTGACAAGAATAAAAGTGGATTCTGCTCTACAAGGGTTAGCGATAGCTTTCAATGCCGGGAATACTATGAGAAGTGGGAGAGAAAGTGAATCGAATGAAACTTTCGCATGTGCTATCTCGAGAGAGTTCAGTGAACGTTTTATAGAATGTCTAGGATACTTCGATGACTTGCAACTTGTAAACCTGCTGAACCATTAAAGATGAACTAGTTCAACATCCCTTACACATATTTAAAGAGAATAAATAAAACTATCACATCATCAAAAACATTTCATCGTGTTTACTCATTCTCAAAGCTAATTACAAGGAAACCAATGGAATTGAATTTAATTTACTTTAAATCCATACAAAAGTTTTAACAAATTTAATTCCTGAATAAACGAAAAATTTTCATTTGATGGTTTTCAACTCAATCTTTGAAATCACGTTTTGAATTTCAATCATCTTGAAACTGTTTAAAACATTGCCAGAAGATGGTCACTTGGAGCAGAAGGAAATTTTTTTATTATTTCAAATCAATATTTTAATATTTATCAAGAATTTGTAAAGCAAAACAGTTTGCCCATAAACAACTGTTTGAGATTCGTTTTCCTTTCGCTTTATACTTTCTTGCATTCAATTTTCTTAAATGCCAGACGCCCAGTTCTCACAGCGCCATTCACGAGTCGAAGTGATGCTTTGTACATAGTTGAGCGAAAAAAGCATTAGATATCGTCATCCCTCGCTCTCGATATCTTACAGCAAACCCTTAATATTTTATTGAAACACTTAAATATTTTATAGAATAAGATTTAAAGCTTTCTTTTTCTCACCGACAACGAGGATGGAAAAATCGGAATGGAAATTTGCCTGATGCATCAGCATGAGGAAGATGAAGTAGAATTGTGGAATTTTTTTATTCAGAAGCAAGCGGCTGAGAATTAGATAAATATGAAATTCAGGCGAAATTTAATATTTTTCTTGTGTTTTATAGTCGAGGATACAATCTTATTCCACCCCCGCGATTTCATGTAAAAATTATCGTCATTGGCACAAATCATTATTCAATAAAAAATTTACACTCGACTTGAGGCGTTCAACTGGAGATTTCGAAATTTTCTCTCTTTGCTTCTTATTCCTTACATTGCATGTCTGGAAATTGGTTGTTTTATGAAGATGAAACACGTGATGGCATGCAATTGTGTGGATTCAATTCTGTAAGAAACATTTCAATTAAATTTTCTTCGAAAAAAAAGTCAGATAAGTGCTTTGAGTTTCAAGTCAATTGGAAATGTTCCAAGTCACTTGACCCAGAAGGAAAATAAAAATAAAACAGAAATAGATTAAATGGGTTTTCTTTAGAATTCATCTTATGGTTTAACAATATTTATATATCCAGCTGGGTAAAGTTGAAGTCGTTCTAAACAGTTGTCTGTGATTTGCTTGAAACATCAGAAGCAAGATTCGTCGTGACCTCATTGAGGATGAACCAAAGGATTGGTAAGAAAGAATAATAATACATATTAAGTAAATCAAACTCCATCTATTTCTCGCATTGTTGTAAGAAAAAAAGTGATTTTAATGACTACACAATTAAATTACAAGCATAGAAAAAAGAATTCAAGTGAAAACTTGTTCTTTGCAGTTTGCATTACAATGTAATTATAATTGTTTCCTCATCTTCTGTTCTTTCTCATCTCATCAGCACTCAAAACTTTCAACGTTTCCATAAAAACGAAAATGAAAAGAAAATGGAAAATGATGATGATGGCAAAAAAAATTCCGGAAGAGAAAAATTATGTACGAAACTTTTTTAATTGACCAAACCAACGACAGAGATTTTTCACAGACAGAAATTTAATTTTTCCTCTGATCTTCTAATAGTTGGAAAGAAAAGTTTCTCGGTTTGAGTAGTGGAAAAAGTTTTATTCACCAACCTCTTATTTTATACAAAAAAATATCGAAGAATCGAAATTTAATAAACGAAATTTCCTTCACACTCTATTTCCAATATTAAAAGCTCGTTTTTGTTTCAAATGAAGGAAAAAGTTTAACAAATTAAAAGAAGACGATAGCTGACTTGAGGGAATAATGAAAAAACTTCGAAGCTTGTTCATTCAACCATTCTTACGATAAAGCATTGATTTCTTCATTATCATTCATTACCGGTTATGCAAAAAAAAAATTAATTGAAACTTAATAACTGCTCATCGCATGTTTCACTTCATTTGTTAAGACTGGACAGTAGCTCCATCTGTGAGAGAAAAGAAAAAACTGATTTTCGAACTTCGAATGTGCAATTTAAATTATTTCTGTGAATAATGAAATAAAGTTAAATAATTCCCAGACTCGTATCTAAGGCATTGCATGGGTAGCAACTGTCTTATGATAACATTTGAAACCTTCAATCATGATATAATTTTGTTATCTTTGACTTTGATGACTCCCGTTGAAACCAAGATTGATCTTCTCATTTCTTATTTAATCAAACCCACGTAAAAGCAATAGCATTACTCCCATGATATAAAACGCATATATCATCAGAAGAAACAAACATGAGATAGCCTAAAATATATTCTCGTAACCAACTCGCACCACTGAATCCCATAAGAAGCAAAAATGGTTTATTGATAAATTTTTCAATCACAATTAAAATAATAAAAAAACTCAGTCCATTGTCAAGAAATATAAAAAATAAACGATATGATAACGTTGAGAGCTTACGATAAGTTATCAAGTTAAAATCATTTATTGTAGTTTAAGCTCAGGATTGTTGTTGAGGAATTTTTGTATTAAATTTTTGGCCTCATTTTCAACATCATCTGTCGGTGCTTCTGAAGCAACGTCTCCTGGTTTCTTTGACATTGCACTAGCAAATTGTGTTGCAAATCCTTCAAAATTCAATTTTTGTCCAAGTGCCGATGCAGGAATATTAATATCCAAATTATTCGTGTTTGACTGTTGTGCTAAAGACATCAATTGTTCTTTCAATGTTCCGCTTCCCGCTGTAATTCCTTGCTGATTTAATAATCCAACAATCACATTCACAAGATCCTGCTCAATATTGTTTGTGAAAACACCTTGAATATTAATGTTGATGTTGAAGATATTTTCGATATTGTTATCACTAATTTTCACGGGACCGGCTGTTGTGATAGACAAGAAATTAATTATGCACGTCACGTCGAGTTAACATAATTTTCTTCTTCACTCACATGAACCCAGTGGTGCCGCTGAAACGAGCGCTATAAGTCCCACAATCACTAAATATGCTCGCATTTCTTATTCAACGTTCGATCGAAGACTAAGAAAATCAAAAATTTTATTTCAAAATAATTCAATTTGTCATTCGAGATAAGCAAGATAAGATGAAGTTTTTCGTTACGATAAGCTTCAATTTGATAAGATGAAGAGAAGGTCAAATTTATATTTGAACAAACAATTTAACATTTTCGTTCAATGATGTTTGTAAACTTAAAGTGAAATCTTATAAATCGATGATTTATCGTCATCGGTACTTTAAGTGAATCATCACAGGTGCAAGAATCACACAACTCACCTCTAGAAATTGTTCTGACAAGTTTATAAACTGTACAATCGTCTTACCAACTACAATGTTGTTTCAGGATGAAAAACTTTAAGTTTATGTTGATGGTGGAACGTCAGATATCTCTGTTGAATTATTTTATATTTCAAAATGTGTAAGAAATCATGTGAGTCAATTTCTAAGCTTTATCTGATGACAAATTCAACTTATGCCTCACATTCAAGTGACGTTCTATTAAGCTTCTTTATGAATCATCAATGGACGTGATAAGGCAAGTAAGCTTATCAATTTGATACACAAAAGCTTTTTCGTGACTACAAAAATCAGAGAAGGAAACATTACAGTTGAACGATTAACTTTTCTTCCATTCCATTCGTATATGAAGAGAAGATTAAGCGCCATCAAATCAATTCTAGTAATTTGTATTCTAACTTTTCTTCTTCTTCATCATCATCCCCATGTCGAATTCAGATTAGCAGCATTTCCAAATAGATAAACAAGGCATTAAAGACAGAGGCAAAAAAGGCGAAGCAAAACGCAGAAAAAAAGTGAGAAATGAACAAAACAAAAAAAAACTCTCGAGTAGGGTTTGGGACGAAACAACAATTTTAAATGGACTTTCGTCAGAGACAAACACCAAATGGCCTTATGTAAATGTAAATTAGCATCAATCCAATTTAAATAATCCCACGGTCTCAATGGATAAGCACAAAGAGGCGCAAAAAAAAGTTGGAAGATAACAGAAATAAAGGAAAATGATTTTTTTTCTTTCATTCAATTCAAGCTCCGACACGAAGTTTTTCTAGTCGTTTTCTTTAAGCAGTGTAGACAGTTGAAACTCGATTTTTTTTTCTTTTTCCTTCAAAATGGAAAAAAGAGATTATTTTAAATGCCAGAAGATGAACGGACAGTGATGAAGCAAAGTTGTTTATACAATTTGTTAGTCATTACAATTTTTTTCACTGCAGTATCACGTCAAAGACTGAAAGAAAGAGAGAGTGAGAGGGATAGGGACGGAGATGAAAAAATTGTTTATACACTTTTTTTCCATCGCTATCCTTGCTTTGCTTTCCTCTGAATTTGCATTTCATTTTGAATTTGGGTAATGGTGAAGCAAATCATGAGGGTGGTTTAGTTGGATCATGGAAAAGGGAAGAAATCTGGCATAAATCACGACTGTAATAAATTACAGCTTGGATGAGATGTGTCGGTTTCGCTTGGCAAGAGGCATGAGGCAAGATGCTTTTTAAAACGAATTCATCAGTGCGGTTTTAATATTTAACGAGAGGCAAAAGCAGCGTTGAAGGAAACAAGATAAAGGTCAAAAAATTGCTGTTTATTCTTTTTTTTTTGGATCATGACCATAGACAAGAAAAATTGCCTTCGACCTTCTTTTTGGGTGCTTCGAGGATGTCACGGACTTTTGTCATCAATTAAAAGCAATTCATTTCCGTTGATTAATTTATGAAATTAACTTTAGGCTTTATTTAAAGTTCAAGCAGAATGTTTGATGATTGCGATTTTTCAGTACTTTTGAAGCTTCATTCGAAAATTCTTTTGAAGTGTTTTTATTGAATTTTGTAAGCTTCCTTCCACTGATTTGAGCTTTAACTTTCTTAAACGAATAAATGATCCCAAGGTTTATCAGGTTGCATGAATAACTCAGCCTAAAATAAAAGCAATCCATAAGGGATGTGAAATAAACAAGCACAATTTTTATATTTATTTATTTTATGGATATCTTCAACAAATTCTCCACAACTACCTGAAGCAACTGAATCAAGCAAGATCATAACAAAGCATAGAAAAAAAAGAGAAAATCGTTCAAATCCCATGACGTCGACGAATAATTTTTCATCTCGTTTGGAGCCAAAGGAGAAAAAAAGGAAACATGGAAATAATAGAAATATTGATATCGTAATCATTCATCTCAGGGCGTCTATTAATCACGGTGTTGAAGTAATTTATCATCATGAAACAAACAGTGGCTAATTAAATTTCAACGCTCGAATCCACCAAAAAGAAAATATTTTTGACGCTTTTCTTCCGTCGATTTAACCAACAACTTCGATGTATCCGAAACGCCAGCAAAAAGTTAGCTACGCTAAGAGAGATCACAACCGTTATTACTAGATTGCTTCTCCCTTAATGGATATGAGATTTATGATGATTTTTTTTCTTTTGCCACGAGTTTGATGTTGAACGCACGTGAGGAAAAGTTTTGAGAAGCTTTACGGTGCACGCGTGTATTGAGATATAAATTGAGGATGGTAAAGAACGATAACAAATGATTGCTAAATAATTTTTCGATGGCAAGGTTACGATGAAATTGAATAAAAATAATTTGGAAGAGTAAAGTTTATGATTTGAGAGATTTGGATTATTTTAATTTTATGCTTGTGTAAGATTTTTCAACAGAATTATGACATTGAATGAGAATTCCTCGGAGTCGAAAAATTAATCTTAATAAAAATTCCTCCTTAAGGCTACTTCGAATTAAAAATGCCAAATTTTAATGTAAAATAATTTATAACAATTTTGTACAATCAACAGAATGCAAGAGAAAATGCGAAAATTGAATAATTTTGACTCAAGAAACGTTTAAGAAGCTTAAGAAAATATTTTTAATATTAAATAACATTCCGTTTCTTGTTTCTCCATGATGCATAACGTAAATAACAAAATAATAATCTCTGATTTGTCATGTTTATTCTTATTTTAAAAAACGTGAAGAAGACTCTCAAATCATTTAAAAATAAGATTTCGATTAAATCGTTTAAACTTGAACGTTGCTTAACTACAATGTTTTGACTCCTTTGAAGGTATTCGAGCTTTTTGAATGAACCTTAACTCAAAAGAATTTCTAGGAAATCTCTGAACCTTCTTAAATTCCAGAATCCTTTATAGATTATTTTAAATTGAAGCAAAGATTTTCTTTGAATGAAAAATAATTGAACCAAATATTGTTTATCGTTTCTGTAAAATTAGGCCTGAAAGCTTCAAATATCTTCCTGCCTTCGGCGTTATTTACAAATCTTCTGTTTTATTTATAAACTTCAAAGTATTTTTCTATTAATTAAGTTGTAAAAGTTTGCAGATAGCAAAGATCAAGAAGAAAGTTATGAAAGTAAGTTTTGTTTTCTAGTGGAATTGATTTCTTTGATCAAATGAATTCAATTTTATTTAACAAGTTGCTATTGGAAATTGATGAGTTGAAAGTTCTCCATAATAATTAATGTTAAACGTCAAATGTTTTTCTTTTATTCGGAACAATTTTTCAACCCACTTTGACCCGAGCGGCACAAGCGGAGATTCTGCCAAAATTGCCTTTAAAATCGCTTAATTTTCCTTCAAGGATGCGGGTAGGACGGTTTTTCGTCACCGCATGTAAAAATTTCACGGAATCTGCTGAAGGCAAGCTATAGGCATTCAAGCGGAAAGCTTGTGCCGCTCGGGATTTAACATGTAAATATTT